TTAGCAGAGGATTTGGCAACTTACAGTATGTGAGCTTTGTGAAAGCACAATTTTAGTATTTCTTCAAAACTTGTAGCATTTGCTACATAACTCAAATCATCAGCATTACATATAGGTCTTAAGGTAAGGACATGTTCTTCAAGTTGGAGGCTTCTCTTGAATTTGCCAATACTCATTGCTGGAAAATTGCTCTTAACTGCCTGGTGCCAACAAGCTCTCACGCTTAGGAATAAACGAGACCAATGAACAAAACTTCTGTGTTAGCTAAGGAAAAGATCATGGTTTGGTAAGAAAAATTATGTCAGCCTAACCAATGATAGTTGGACTCACATAGGCCTTGATGGCTACCTCCTAGTTGAAAATCCTTCCTTTGATCTATTTGCTTTCCTAACAAGATAAAGCACAGAAGTTACGCACAATCCAGCAAGGCAAGGAGATGTATAACTTTGGTTAAACAAACACCTAAGCTACAATACTATGGATTAATTCTATCAGTGTCATAGTCAAAGAGAATAGCAGGCTGTTACTTGGCAACATCAAAGATATAACCAACATTCTGAAGTATGAAATCACAAGATGAAAGGATGGATTTTAGCAGAGGATTTGGCAACTTACAGTATGTGAGCTTTGTGAAAGTCCTTGCTTTGATCTTTTTGCTTTCCTAGTAAGATAAAGCACAGAAGTTATGCACAATCCAGCAAGGCAGGGCGATGTATAACTTTGGTTAAACAAACACCTAAGCTACAATACTATGGATTAATTCTTCTGTTAATTCAATCAGTGTCATATTCAAACAGACTAGCAGGCTGTTACATCAAAGGTATAACCAACATTCTGAAGTATGACATCACAAGATGAAAGGATGGATTTTAGCAGAGGATTTGGCAATTTACAGTATGTGAGCTTTGTGAAAGCACAATTTTAGTATTTCTTCAAAACTTGTAGCATTTGCTACATAACTCAAATCATCAGCATTACATATAGGTCTTAAGGTAAGGACATGTTCTTCAAGTTGGAGGCTTCTCTTGAATTTGCCAATACTCATTGCTGGAAAATTGCTCTTAAGTGCCTGGTGCCAACAAGCTCTCACGCTTAGGAATAAATGAGACCAATGAAAAAAACTTCTGTGTTAGCTCAGGAAAAGATCATGGTTTGGCAAGAAAAATGATGTCAGCCTAACCAATGACAGTTGGACTCACATAGGACTTGATGGCTATCTCCTAGTTGAAAGTCCTTCCTTTGATCTATTTGCTTTCCTAGTAAGATAAAGCACAGAAGTTATGCACAATCCAGCAAGGCAGGGCGATGTATAACTTTGGTTAAACAAACACCTAAGCTTCAATACTATGGATTAATTCTCCTGTTAAATCAATCAGTGTCATATTCAAACAGAATAGCAGGCTGTTACAAAAAAAGATAGAACCAACATTCTGAAGTATGACATCACAAGATGAAAGGATGGATTTTAGCAGAGGATTTGGCAAGTTACAGTATGTGAGCTTTGTGAAAGTCCTTGGTTTGATCTATTTGCTTTCCTAGTAAGATAAAGCACAGAAGTTATGCACAATCCAGCAAGGCAGGGCAATGTATAACTTTGGTTAAACAAACACCTAAGCTACAATACTATGGATTAATTCTATCAGTGTCATAGTCAAAGAGAATAGCAGGCTGTTACTTGGCAACATCAAAGATATAACCAACATTCTGAAGTATGACATCACAAGATGAAAGGATGGATTTTAGCAGAGGATTTGGCAAGTTACAGTATGTGAGCTTTGTGAAAGTCCTTGGTATGATCTATTTGCTTTCCTAGCAAGATAAAGCACAGAAGTTGCGCACAATCCAGCAAGGCAAGGTGATGTATAACTTTGGTTAAACAAACATCTAAGCTACAATACTATGGATTAATTCTATCAGTGTCATAGTCAAACAGAATAGCAGGCTGTTACTTGGCAAAATCAAAGAAATATTCAACATTCAGAAGTATGACATCCCAAGAAGTAAAGAAACAGAGGGAGTGGAAAAGAGGGATTGACAAGTTGAATGAAGAATATGTGAATGAATGCTTGAATTTACGCTGAGATCCATTTCTAGATATTTTCCTCAGGTGTTGATCAACACCTAAATTAAGTTTAAAGAAGCATAAACACTTCCTTAAGTCAGTTATTCTTTTCTATTCTAATTGGCTAAAAGAACAATCTATAATTCTCTGAAGGTGGTGTAAATATGTGCATACTTGAGTTGTGTTTTACACTTGAGTTTTATTTTTCTTTGACAAAAATAGTTGGGCTAAAACATTATGTAATAGAATGGTTGAGGCTTAGCATGCAGCCATCCTCTTGCAAACTCACTCAAACACACTCCATCAATTGGGTTGTAAGCCGCTTGACGTTTATTCAACAGTTCATACGGGTCTCAACAGGGGACAAGAAATAAAGAAATGATCCCAGGAAAAAGCATTTGTTATCAAGGACAGTATTCAGCGCATGAAAACTCATATTTCACTTCTGCAGTGTGGGATAAGAAATCAAGCCACCCTCTGACACCCCATGTATCACATCCTGACTCAGTCAGCAGAGGACAATGTGTGTCTGTGTGTGTGTGTGTTTGTGTGTGCTGATGTGGATTGTTGTTGGAGAGCTTGCATACTTAGGGGGGCGGTAGTAGCTCAGTCTGTAGGGACTTGGGATGGGAACCGGAGGGTCGCCGGCTCAAGTCCTGGTGTAGACCAAATATGGAAGTTGGTCTGGTAGCTGGAGAGGTGCCAGATCGCTTCCTGAGCACTACCAAGGTGCCCTTGAGCAAGGCACCAAATCCCCTACCCACCACCAGCTCAGGAGCGGTTCCGTCACTCTGACATCTCTCCATTAGTGCATGTCCATAGGCTGAAATATACACACATGCACAAACAGGATCCTATGTGTGTGTTGCATGACTTACACAGTGTAAAAACAGAATTTCCCCTTGCAGGATCAATAAAGTAAATCTTAATCTTAATACATACACAAAGCATATTAAAGAAAGTTAATTTAGATGTGAAAATAAAAGTTTCTTAAAGGGATACTTTACCCGTTGAAACATGAATCTGTATTAAATTTGGGTCATATACGTAGTAGAAATGTGCAATAAATACAGACATTGGGGTGCGGTGGTGGCGCAGTGGTAGGGCGCGTGTCCCATGTGTTGAGACTCTCGTCTCAAGCGGTAGGCCCAGGTTCACTTCCACCCGTGGCCCCTTTCCGCATGTCATTCCCCCCTCTCTCTCCCTGGTTTCGACTCTACCCACTGTCCTCTCTCTGCATTAAAGGCATGAAAAGCCCAAAATAAATAAATAAATACAAACATTTACTGCACATATGGCCATTTCTTCACCTGATACCGAGATTTCTTGCAGAAGGAATTGGCATCTTGAAAATTCCTGGCAACAAACGAACTCTATGTCTGTGTCCCTAGGCAAACATTGAGTGCACCGACACCACCAGTCCGCCCCAGCTCGAGTTGGCCCCGGCTCCTCATCCTCACTGCCGCCGACAGGCAGGTCATGTGCTGCAGCCAAGGCAGCACAAGACCTCGTCGCTATATTGCAGCTCGTAGAGATAGCCACGAACAACCGATGGAGCACAAGATCTTCAAAACCCCCTTCATCCATATCAGTTTGAAGTTGAAACATACTTTTATCATACTTTTGTTCTTCTCAACTTTCTCCACAGAGCCTGTTAGCATAGCATCCAAGCAAGATGGCAGACGTTGAGTTTAGATTCTGGGAGTGAATCTCCCCCACCCCACAGGGCAGATTGAAAACATGAGTGGAGTGAAGTATCCTTTTAAGTGAAAAGTCAATAGAGAAAGCACTAGTTTAGTATTAGGAAACAAACCTTTATTTAAAAAAACAAACATAAATATACCTACAGGAGTAAGAGGGGAAAGAAATTAGTCCCTACATTTAAAGAAATTGCATAATTCAGTTCTGCTTCCAGTCAAAAATAACCACTTCCAAAGTTTTGAATGAGAGAGACCCAGAGTGAGATTAAACAGCTGAAGGTATCAATTTTTCTTTTAACATTAACCAGGCTTCTTGTGCAAGAGACACAGGAATTCATCACTTTTAAGAATAAGAATCACACACACACACACACACACACACACACACACACACACACACACACACACACACACACACACACACACACACACACACACACACACACACACACACACACACACACACACACACACACACACACACACACACACACACACACACACACACACACACACACACACACACACACACACACACACACACACAATTCTTTCTCTGTGAGTGACGAACTGTAGTGAATGTCAGTAATGGCTTTGTTCAGGAAAGCAGATTTGCAATGACTATATAATGATTTCATTACTTCAGATCATTCTCAACTTTCTTTTCAAAATATTCTACCCTTTAACAATCATGTAAATACAAAATACTTTAACATTTCTCTTGAACATGTAGAGAATTGGGTTAACATTCACACTGAAAGCATTCAGAGTTAATGCTGCAATTTATGAGCTCTTACAGTAACATTTAAACTCAAAAATACTCAGGTCACCAGTTCAGATGCTGTTAGCGAGGAAATAATGTTTCACTGAAAGCCTAAATCTCCTTAATATCACTGGAGAAAATCATAAACTGTCCGCTTTGACAGCAGGAGCTATGGGAACATCTTCCTTAAAAATACTTGATGATTCTTCACCTCTACGTCTAAACTTTTATGAGTAAGTTAACAGTCCAGCCAATACTGAAGATTGCACATGACAAACCAGTGCAACACGGGCACTTCCATAAAGTTAAAACACACATACGAACAAGCACAAAGGTATTTAGTTTGAAGAATTTTCAGGTCGTTTTCTAAGGTGCATCCAGCACGTCAGCAAGTCCGTCTGTTTGGAGATGTTTCCAATGTTCATTAAGAGACAGAGGGACAAAAAGCAATCATTGGAAGAAAACTGGGGGATTGTACTTTTGGTGTTTGTATTGTATGTGTCAAAGTCTGTTTACATGTTCATACGCACACAGAAATAGTACTGTCCATGTCCATCTGAAGAAAGGAGAAGGCTTGGTGTGTGTGTGAATGTGTGTCTCAGGAGATGGTTGAAAACTCTTTGAGCAAGATGTCCTGACTCAGTGTGTTAAGAGAGACGTTCTTCCTCACATTCAGACTGATGGAGCGAACCTGGAGGGAGAAAAAGACACAGACAGGGTCAGACCAGGACTTACCGGTAATGAAAACATTAGCACAGCACACATACTTTACCACTTAACCCCTGTGTTTCTTTCATGGACTGTAGGCTACATAAAAAAAGTGGTTGTAGCCATGTCAAATGGCAGATAATAACTCCAGCTTTGAAGTTCAGATCAACTGGCGGTAGCCATCTTTACTTTTGGTAACAAAAGTGGTTCCATTTGGAAGACAGGGGGGTATGTGTTGCTATGCCTCTATCATGGTCACCACTCTCCTGCTACCCTTCACTCTGCAGTGATAGGTCAGAAGAGACTTAGAAGACCGTATATAATAGTTGTTATCCTTAAACTGTTATTTAAGTTTAAGGATAAGAGGCCTTTTTATGAGTTCTTATAAAGAGGACAACAGGTCTGGGGCACTAGTGGCGCAGTGGTTAGTGCGCGCTCCATGTACAGACTATAGTACTCCAAGCGGGTCACCCAGTTTCCAATCCGACCTGTGGCTTTTTTCCCACATGACATTCCCTTCTCCCTCTCTCCCTGATTTGCTGCTCTATCCACTGTCATATCTCTCCAATAAAGGCTCAAAAGCCCCCCAAAAAATCTAATAAAAAATAAATGAAGAGTACAAAAGGTCTGGGACTTTTAACTAAATGTATCACAGCTTTTCTGTCATTCTGAAGACTATTGTCTTGATTGATCAATAACACACACACACACACACACACACACACACACACACACACACACACACACACACACACACACACACACACACACACACACACACACACACACACACACACACACACACACACACACACACACACACACACACACACACACACACACACACACACACACACACACACACACACACACACACACGCGCACACACACACACACACACACACGCTGTTCACAGGTTTAAACCTTGTACAAGACTATTTTCAGCACTCAACCTACTACCTTGTGTCTTTGGCTGAATCACAGTCGTACTAATATTCAGCACAACTGCACTTCCTCTGGTTATATTGTTTAAATATTAAACCTTCAACTCCCACAATGCCTTGCCCTCTTTCAGTTCTCTCTTACTAGCTCCTTGAAGAAGGCAGACTCTTTCGGCTGCTCCGAGTATCTCTCAAACTGGTCCAAACCATCCTGCAGTTTGAGGGTCAGTGTGTCATAGTTGGTCCGAACCACCTCGAGCACCTGACAGGGGTGAGAGAAACAGAAAATGTACATTACTGGAGAGCTGCATAACACAGAGAGCTTAATGTGTCATACAGTGAACACTGAACATGAATAGTCATTGAACAGTCAAATATTAATCAGTGTTCAATATTCCAGTGTAATATTTTTTTTCCCCGGCTGATCATGAGAAAGGTTTGCATTACTGTAAGATCCTATTGGTAGTATAAGAGGCGTAATAGGCAGGGGGGAGACTGTTGCAATATGTAACACCAGAGCCGGCAGAGTGTGTGCATATAAAAGTATGTGTTTGTGTGGCGCTCCTGCTGTTTGTTTACAAGTCATGCTTCTTGAGCTTCTTCAATGCCTTAAGTGAAATCATGCATTTGGACAACAAAATTAAGCCATTGCAGATGCAATGTTTAAGAACAAAGGCGTAATCAAAGCAACTTCGTTACAAAGCTGTTGTGGAATCGCAACGTCTGCTAAGTGGTTCCTTTTAGAGTCAACTGGCCGCATAAAAACTGGGATTAGTCATTTAAAAAGATGGTGGGATGCTGTGATCCAACCAGCTTTCCAAACCAAAGAGAAAACTAAAAAGACCAACATCTACAACCGAATCAACTTTGAGATGCATGTTGTTACTTGAAATTGATCGCAGAATTTTGTCTTTAGATGTGTCACTTATTTGCTGCTGTCTCTAACTGGGGGCAGTAAATGGTAAATAGACTTGAGCTTGTATTGCGCTTTTGTAGTCTTCTGACACCTCAAAGCATTTTTGAAGTGACCATCAGAAGTAACTAATCCCATTCATACGCTGCCACCGAAGCAGCGGGAGCAACTTGGGGTTGTGTCTTTGGGCAAGTGTCTTGCCCAAAGACACATCGGACATGTATCTGCAGGAGCTGGGGATCGAAACCCCGACCTTCGACTGACCGACTCTACCAACTGAGCCACAGCCGCCCCACTAGTGTGGAGACAGGAGGGGAGCGGGGAGCTTGCAGGAGAGCATTTGTTTTTTGATCTGCTCTGAAAGTCGTATAGTAAACCTTTAAGAAGCAGTTTCAAACAACAGACTTTGGTAATAAGGACCTTTTTGTAGTGAGAGGTCCTTTCAGAAAAGACTCTCTTCATCAATTTTAAGGTCAGAGTATAAAAACAACTAATTAAATTGAAAATAGAGAACGTGTGTGAATGTACTGTGGTTTAAAGTGCACACTGGCCTGAGGTCAAGTCTAGCTGAGATAAGGTGAGCTGAATTCAGAGCTAATTATGCAGAGATTTTCCACACGTCCAACCTCAATGTTCCCCCATTTATCTGTGAAAAAGCCCCTAGGCAGACCTTTTCCATTATTTCATTAATGTCCCTAAAACACTCCACACATTATGAAACACTCACTGTGAGATGCATGAGCTGAACTTTGTCATGCCATGGAGCTTTATTAACACACACATTCACGTACACACCTTAAACGAGTCCAGCTTTCATCTGGGTAAACACACAGATGTGAGCACAAAGCCTATATGTTCTCCTTTAAACTCTGGGAATAATCCAGTGGAAAGCTGAAATTTAATTCATGAATTGAGGGTGTGAAGCAGGAAAACATAATTTTCCCTTTATGTTCCTTCTAATAAATCTGCAGCCCTGCTCGCTGCTGTTGTTTTTATTTCGACCTCTGATGGTACCCTGATGAAAACTCCCATCTTTCTTTTTCTCTCGCGCCATCACAGCTCTCCATCATTTTCCTCTCTCTGTGGAAATTCAGAGGTAGGACTGAAGGAGAACCTCAACAAATATACATTCAGGTTAAGTGGAAAAAAGGGAAAGTAAGAGGGGGAGAAAGGGATTTCGAGCAACAACAAAGAAAGACAGAAAGAAAAACAGAGGATGAGAGGCAAAGTAACCTTTATCACACATTAAGTGTTTGGTTCAGCATTTTGCCCACACACATACACACACTCTGGACTCAGATGGGCAACTTTCTGCATCACTAAGCAGACATGATTTTATCTTGAAGCGATGGTATGACGGCAGTCTGGTGTGCTGAAGTGTGTTGTGGCTCTAACATTGTGATGTGTGTGACAGAGAGAACAGCAGCCTGATTTAATGATGTGTGTTTCTGGAGGCCATTCATCTTGTAACGTCACTACAGGGAATGAAGATACCACCTCAGGCAGATGGAAAGCTCAGGGTTACTGGTGTGACTGGATTTGCAAGGAAAACAATTTGAACTGTTTTTATTGCGGCCGCATGTTGCCACAGACACACAGAGTGTTGATTGGTCCCCATCAGAAGCGTTGCACACTAAATGCAGGAGATATAATAGTCAGTCTAATTATCTATAGGTGTATTATGTGTACAGTTTCTCTTTGCTGTAGTTCTTTCACTAAAGATATGTGTTGTAAAAAAAAATATTAGCCCCAAATAGAGCTGCTCAGACTAAGAAGACAGTATTAACTGTATAAAACATGAACGTATTCACAGTGACATCATCCACTGGTTTCTAATGAGGTGTTTTACCATACCATATAGGACAGGCCGATTCCACAAAATATTCAGTCAATCTAGTAACAGACGAAGAGGTAGAGCTGAGGTTGGCCGAGGCCTTAATCCTCCTGGCTAACAGTGCCTGTGAGTAAAATCGTGAGACCCCTAATTATGGTAAATGCTGTACAGGAAATGTATCTACATGGATGTCATGTCGTCGAAAGTGATGGAACCACCACTGAGTGGATTTTGATAAAAACACAAGGAAGAAAATAAAATGATTCACACTTCAGTTTAAACCCAAAAGAAAAGGAGGAGGCAGAAGAGTTAGAAGACAGAGTGGTCTCAAGAAGTGATGATCTGAATGTGCGCATTATCTCTTCCTGCTTCTTCTACCTCCATTCTGCCTTATTATAATGGTTTGACTCATCAGCAGTGTACCAATATCTTGAGTCTTTTACTTCTGTCTCCACAGCTATTATTTATTTATTAATTATTTTATTATTTTGTGCAGACTGAGGTAATATGGAACTTGTCTTTTGTTCAGATGAAAGCTCTTTTTCTATCTCAGTCATTTCTCTCTTGCCTCTTTCCATAATTGACCTACATTTCAAGTGTTCTGAGACCAATGACGTACATTTTCTTACAAATGGCTTCTCCCAAAAAAAAATATTCGTAAGAATAGAGTCATTTTGAAGTTGATGACAGCAGACAGAGGAAAGAAAAGCAGGGGAGAGAGATGGAAAATGATGTTGAACTGAAGGTCCCCAGTCAGACACAAAACGGGGTCGTTGAAGTTCATGATCAGAGCAATAAAGCCTGACAACCAGTCAGTTCATCATCATAATTTATCATCATAATTTGATTGAAAGCAGAGCGATAGAAACAGCTGACTAGGTAAATCCTGGTTATTGTTTTTTTGTGGTTCTGCTCTATAATTAGTTCACTGATGTCTCCTAAAGGAACAGAAACTACTTTAAGTTTTAGCCAGCTGGAGAACCTGAGATATGATGTGATGAGGGCTAGGAAATATGTTTCAAACAGAACTGTTTAGGTATATACATATCCCAACACAGTACAATGCTCCTCCCATAGCAAATATTTATACTAAGGTGTAGTGTGCAGAGCTGCAAAGGCCATTTATTTACCCTTGTAAGAGTTTGAAAACTTAGCTGCTAAACACAGTGTTGTCATCAATTCAGCACCAGACTCCCAATGTATTCATTTTCTGTTCACTTCTTGTTTGCACAACATTCAGAGTCACTGCAAGTTTATTTTTTTAATCAATTAGCTAATTGAAATGTCCTTTTCTAGTGAATTAGCACAGAAAGCAAACATGTTGCACAGTAAAAACTAGTAAAGCAAACTTCTGTTCTGTCCAGGCAGAAACAGGTACTCAAACACACCATCACACATACATATCACCTCATAACATGATGCACACACACACCACACATTCATACTCTGTACATTGCACTTTGACACCCTGGACACTGTACATGGTTTAAATTTGATACATTTTGTATATTTATATATTCATTTTAATCTTATCTTGTATTTCTACATTAACTGTTTACACATGTAATAGATATTTTGAGTGTTTATTGCATGGCATTGAACGGCCTCTACATTTCACTGCACATCTGTATGAGCATGTGACAAATACAAATCTTGAATCTCCACTTATCTTTGCTCTGTAGCGAGCTTTGTTGATCAATCAAATAGTTTATTTTTTTATCACACCAATTCCTAACAAATGTAATCTTGAGACACTTCTCTTTCTTAAATTAATACTGATTAGAAGTTCTTAGTTTTACCTTTCAATGGTCAAAATGAATAATTTGATTTTTTAATTAATCTTTAAATGTTTTAATGTTGCAGAAGAACATTTCTTTACACTAGTTTATAACAAAGTCACTCTATCTGATGTGTGTAATGGGTGTTATATCACCAGTGGAAAATCATATAAAACCACTCAGCTCAAACGTTAACTTCTGCCTTCCTTCCTTTGTTGTGAATACATCTAACTGATAAAAGCAGAGAGGTAATTGGGGAGTGTAATGACCAGATCCATCATTCTCTTATCAGCTTGTTAAAAAAAACAGATTCCTCCTGCTGTTTTCCTCTCCTCACCAGTTCCACATTAATGTTGAAGTTTTAAATGGAGCTCACACTACTTAGCCTCCTGCAACACGTTTTGTGAAGGGAGACTCATTGTTTCTGAAGGTTTCCTGTTCCATAATGAATCAAGTCCATAGCCCCTTCACACAAGAACCCCTGATATTTTCCAGGCAACTCAAGATACTGGTTTTGGTTAAAGGGGGCTTTGGTTAAAATCTTTTTTTTAAGATTTATTTTTGGGCTTTCCGTGCCTCCAATGGAGATAGGGCAATGGAAAGAGAGAGAGAGAGAGAGAGAGAGAGAGAGAGAGAGAGTGGGGAATGACATGCGGGAAAGGAGCCACAGGGGTGGGATTCGACCCTGGACCGCCCGCTTGGAGGACCACAGCCTCCATACTTGGGCGCGCACACCGACCACTGCGCCACCAGCGCCCCAAGGGGAAGGGGAGGGGCTTCACTCTTAAGGATGTTTTCAAACATTCACTCCTGAAAGTTTTGAACTCTCTGGAAGTACGACCTGATAACGAAAGATGCTGTGGAAACTGAAGATGGCAGATGAAGGGACAGAGTCTGACACTGATGACAGTTTTTTTCCCCTTGAGATTAATGATACGTGTAATTGGACGTATTCACAGTATAAACGGCTTGACAGTGTCCTCTCGCCTGCCTGACCTGACTGTCATGAATCAGCCAGAGTTTTGAGTTCAGTGTGGTGTGTTAACAAATGCCCTCCTTGTCTCATCTTAATAAGTGATGTTTGAGTCATCTGTCTCTGCCACACAGCCGTAACTACTTCATAGATGAATACACTCTTTCAAAATAAAACGCAGTGAACCTCTTTCCAAACACTTTAAAGTACAGCATGTTCTCCATTACGCACTAAAAAATTAATCAAGTTTTACTCTTAAAATGACAAGAGCGATGTCTCTGAGGATTTCGCCTTAATGGCCTCGAGATGTTTCTTAAGTTCATTTTTATTTACATGTGACTCCTCATCAGTGTGTGAGAGGGCGGACAGTGTGTTGTTTTTACCTGCTCTTCTGACAGCTGGGAGATGTGGTTCACAGCAGCGTACGACTCTATCTTGGGGTTAAAATGGTTGATGATTGCCCTTTAAGAAAAAAAATAAAAGAGTTTCCTTTCAATCCAGGATCAACATTTTCATGCATAAACATGTGCGCACACAAACTTTGCAGACAAATGTTGTATTATAAAACCATGATTATTAATCTGTTGTTACATAAGAAAGGAGTTTAACAAAGAGTCTGGGCCACTTTTAAAAAAAATAATCATTTTCTATCTGCATGGGGCTCCACACGGGCTGCAGTTTCTACCCAGCTCAACTTGTGTGTTCTGCTGATATGGAAAGATTGTCTAAAATATTGTGTAAAACAAGAACTGACAAAGAACAATGGAAACAGATTAAATCATGGTGATTAACTCATGTGAGATTAAAGTGTGCTGTTAAAGGAGCTCACACAAACACTTTCCTTACAAATCTCAGTGCATCACAATAATGTGTAGATCTTAGCATCAAAACAAGCTGCCTCTGAAGATCTGCATGTTCTTCTTTCATGCTGCTGGGGAAAACTGTTTCAGAATAATCTGAGCTTTTGTAAAGGGATGATGTCAGCCTGCCCAGCCATAGCCTGCAGGTTCTGCTGCAGTAACTTTCACATCTATTGTTATGATCCTGTATTTATGTTTGTTTGTCAGATATTGATGCAGCCATAAATGATTCAGTAAGCAGTGTTTATGAGCAGCGTTGGCATCCTTGTATGACAACAGCAACAAGGAAATGACTTTGTGAGGACTGAGTCAGAAATAGTTTTTCATGTTATAGTATTACGTGTTTACTGTTTTTATACAAACATTGAAAAACAGCCTCGTACTAAAACTGCAGAGTGTGATTCTAGAAAAGTCTTTTGGTATTTGTTCAGCAACAAACGACTGATATAATGTTTTCTAAGGGATTCAATTACAAAGCACAATTCTTAGCAACACCAGTTACATTTGACCCACTTATCTTAGGGGGCACTCACACTGGGCAAAGTTGTCCCGTACTGTGCTTAAGCACGATTACCCCCCTCCCCGGGGGCTCCAGGACTAACCGGACCGGTTACCTCTTGTACATAACGTTGTAATACAACACATGCATGGCTTTACGTGATTAGGCAGCCTCCAAGACTAGGCAGCCTCCAAAATAGAAAAACATTAAAGGGACACACGGTCGATTCCACGTTCACACATCAGAGAACAACAGAGTAATGACAGCCTACGTTACTGACTTTGTGAACACTCCAGGATTTCTTGATAATGAAGGCTGTCCACATTGTGTAATCGTGCTTGTGCTCATGCATGAACTGCACCGTACCAAAACACACCTCACACTAGTCAAACAAACTGGACTTTAGGGGTGAGGCGTTCTTAGGCACGGCACAGATAGCCTGGTTTGAGTGCGCCCTTACACTTTTATTCAATTCTACTCGATTTCTTTGCTTGATTGGCAGTCTTTTCCAGCATTAGCATATCATTCAATAACATAAGATGCTTTATAACTGTAATCTAAGCTTATATATTTGCAGAACTGTGAGAGGGAAAGGTTTATTTTAGAGGTTGTCATATATCAGATAAATTATAGAGACAAATACGCAGAAAAGTCTCATTAGTGGTCATAAGGATGTCATGAAGTGTGGGCGGCCAGAGAACTGATGGGAGTCAAATAGAATTTGTCCCTTCATGCGAGTTCATTTCAACAGAGTCTCTGTGGTTTCTTTATACCTCTCTGTCTTCATCTAGTCATTCAAATATTACTCTTTCAAACTTTTCCTCCCACTCCTTCCCTTAAACCCCTGTGACTGATTATTTAAACACTGGAGTCTGTTCGATTAGAAGCCCTGTGAGGGGGTGAATCTTTTGGGAGTATACCGCTCGTATGGGTTCCTTCAGGGGGCTTTCATGTCAGGGTGACCTCCGAGGATCATCTCCTCAGAGAAGATGGAGGATGAAAGAGAGATTACAGAAGGAATGGTAAAGCGGGGATATTGTACAGAATGTGTGTGTAGTACAGTAATGTTGGGTTGAAGTAGATAAAGGCTTAAAAAATATCAAAAAGAAGGACCTCGGGGAGGAAGAGGAGGGATAGAAGAAAGGCGGCAGATGAAGAAGCTAAATTACACTTCCAAAGACTTCATTCACTTTATTTTGTCCTTTCAATTTGCAATTCTGCTCAATGCTTCATAACTCTTTTCTCATTCTTGGTACACTGTTTATGTTCCTTGAGACTATACGTGTGTGTGTGTGCGTGTGTGTGTCTGTGTGTGTGTGCGTGTGTGTGTATATAAATTTGTGTGAGTGTGTGATCTTACCGAACATTGACGAGGGCGTGTGTAACTTTACTGGCTGCTTCCTTCCACTGGCCCGTGTTGGTTGATACTCTTAAAACTGGAAGGCAGAATGAGAAGAGAAGATGCACACATTTCTTTTCATTACTCACGTTGAGGACTCGTGATAGCATTTATTTTATTTACTGATGTATCTGTTAATTTAACTCTCAATTTATTGTCTTTATGAAATGTCAGTAAACAGCTTAGAATATCCACCAAAGTAGCCTAGTGGTTAGTGCGTGTGCTCCATGATCTCTCTCTCCTCCATTTCTGACTCTATCCACTATCCGATCTCTGAATAATTGCACAAACCCTCGCCTCAGACCTTCATCAGTCTGTAAACATGTTTATTTCTGCAGTAAAAACGGGCAATTAAAGAATGGGTATGTATGCAACTTCTGGGGTTTCAGTGGCTAGCTTCAAGTGGACAATGGAGGAACTGCAGGTACTTTCTGCTTTGGCTTCATTTTTCAACACTGGCAGTTGCCGCTTCTTTAAAACAAAGGAAGTTATTGATTTGCTGTCCTGAAGAGAAACTAAGTAGTTAGATACAAACACTGAATTACTGTTAGAATCTGAAATACTTAAATGCACATGAAGCTGAATTCATAATCCAACCTGTTGTAGGCTACAAGAACATCAACCTTACCCAATATTTTTCTTTCCCAGCTCCTATTTCTCCATGACAGCTTTTAATTTAGACTTACAAATGACTTTTATACACAAGACTCTTCATGCTAACATACCCATACAGTAGAGGTTGTCAAAGACCTGGTGCATTCGTACGATTTCGTAGTACAGCTCGTCGTAGCTGTTGGAGGTGGGCAGGAATGTGTCGCCGTATGTTATGAACATGTTGAACAAGTTCACTACCTGGATGAGGAGACACATATTGGATGACAAATACATCACACATCAGTCTTGAATTAGAACAACCAAACAAGAAAAATTTGGTAAAAGAAACAAACTAATAATTAACTAGTTAACGGCATCATTGTTGTTGAGTGTTATGTATTTTAAAGGCCCATGTAGGGACAGGTATTGCAATTAGCTTAGGCTATAAATGCTAAAGAGTATGGAAGCGGTATACCTGCTCCATACTTGTCCCTATACAAATATACATTAAATAAATGAATACAATTCTGTGAACTCAGCATATTTTGTCCCCTCCATACTACAAAGCTAACTAAATCTAATGTTAAAGCAGTTTATAGTCTGTGTATAGCTGGACTACGAGCAGCAACACTGACACATGATCTGTCTCTCTTATAACTGCAAGAAAAAACACACATCCCTAGGAAACAAATGTCCATTAAAGATTGTACTTTGTCAAAACCCTGTGTGTGCGTGTGTGTGGCTCACCAGTAAGGCTAGATGAAAGATGTTGTGTTGGCCAGCAGTGTGGTCTCATTAGACAGCAGAAACTTCAGCAGGTTGATGAGCGCTGCGCAGAGAGGGACATGCAAAAAGTCTTGAAATAATCTGTTGATAGTCAGCAGAGTCATGTGGCAGCAGTTTGCTTTCCTGTGTGTGTGTGTGTGTGTGTGTGTGTTCTTTTTTTATAAAGGCCGACAATGGAAACACAGGAGGGGGGAACCTTTCAACACCAAATCGAGGTCTTATGGAGGAAAACAAAAGCCATGTGCACAAAAACCTTTTACAAGCTCCAAAACATGAAAGCAAAATAACAACCTGAATGAAGATAAAAGCGTCTTTCGCTTTAATTTGGCTTATTTCTCTCTCCAGTCTTATATCAGGGCGTGTCATTATCACCACCAGGAGGATAGAGTTTGTGTTGCTCAGGGAATTAAGCTGATTATTTGTCTGATTAGTGGAGTATGCATCCTAATGAGACTCAGTGCTATGGGGCCGTTACAGACTGATGGATCGTCTCCTGTGTGTTGACCAGACTGAAAACAGGCCACCGGGATGTGTTGGCTTTCTTAAACGACTCATTATCCAATCTCAATGACACGATACATTTTAAAAACAACAGGTCTTGTGACTTTAGGAGCATAATGTCTTAGTTTAAAAATAAAAAAAACAAGAGCCATTTATGATCCTCATAAAGCAGATCCTCTGCACACTGAAATGTGTCTTCTATTCATGCAAATTATTTCGTCCTGAAACTTTGATAAGGGAAGCTATGAGGAGATTTTATTTCTGACAGTTTTTGTCAGCGCCTCCTGACAGCTTGATGCTGAAAAGATCTTAACCCTGACATGTAGCTATAAATCTATCTTATTCATTGTTGTTGCTCTGTTTGTCTCTATCCTTCTCCTTCTTCATTTCTCTCTATCCCACTTTCCAAGCCCAGCACAGTTTCAGCAGATCTTCATGCACCTTGTTAGTTGGTGAAGTTATGCCAGAAAATCCCACTCTGCCTCTTCAGCAGACAGCCTTTCAACATGAATCGGGTTTTGCTCGAGCTTTCTGCCACAAAGGAAATGTTTCCTTGCCACGTAGCCTAGCGTTTTTTCCAGGCAGAAAAGTCAGATCGGACTTAAAGCTGTCTGTTGGCTCTTACTGACGTTGTTTCCTCCTTTCTAGATCCTTGCTGGAGTTGGACTTACTCTCAGATGTACGTCACTTTGGACATGAATTGTACAGATGTAGAACACTGATTAAAAAAACATGATGATGAACTTAAAGTCCTGTCGGGCTTCAGTGCACAGCGCTGTTTTGAGCTGAGGAGATCTAGCTCTTGTTCCAGCAGTAAAGGTCCTATTCATTTTTCCACTTGGATATGATATTCACGCTGTAGTATGTCTACAGCTCCGAACAGTGTGACACTTTTTATTTCTTATAGAAAATATTGGGTTCCATTAGCAAAACGAAAAGATAAAGCCTGAGGGTTTATAAAAACACTGAGGGAGATTTAAGCTCCGGGGCATTGAAGGTGCATTTTGAAAGAGAAACGTTCACTTTCCGATGACTATTCATCAACTCTGACCTCTCTTAGTGTATTTTCTCTTCAAATATATTGTTTTTTTTACCATCACTGCTGCTCTCGCTTTCTCATTCACTGTGCAGCTTGCTCATCCACGTTTCATCTTTTATTCACCGGTGTGGTTGCTTGTCTACACTTCCTTTCTCATATTTTGGGTGAGAAGCCTCAAGTAAAGCATTATTTTTAACAATTAAAAAAACAAATAGAAATGGCCACCTCTTGTCCTGATATTGTTTCAGTTCAGCCATGTTTTCTTAATGACTTGACACAGAGTCGTAATCTAGTTGCTGTGGTGTCAGTAAAAGTCAACCCTAGGAGCCTCACCCCTTAAATTCCTCATCTTTTTAAAACTACAGCCCCAGCATCATACAGGATATTTTTGTCCTTACTGATGGACCAAAAGCAGGTTAGGTTCCTCAAAATGCTCTTGGTCCTCTAGAAAAAGTTCCTGTCCAATAATTCTGACTAAATTGGCCTTGACTAGTGCTGCTTCCTTACCTGACCAGAGCTCCCTCCAGGTGTAGTGTAATCTGATTCTGCACTTCTTCTGGTAGCACAGCAGTTTGTGGATGATCTGCACACAGCGCCTGTGCAGGAAACAAACACATGAAGCTGTAATGATGGCGCTAGTTGGTGGATGAGACTGTAAAACATGTGTGATGTGTATGTGTTCTCACAAGTATAAATCCATGGGGAAATCCTTCATCATGTGGGTGACAATGAACTCCACCATCAGATCTAGACAAAGAGGCACAGATGAGACAGAGTAAAGTAAGACTGATAAAAACGTGACAGAAAAAACACACAATGGCCTAAGCAATGAGAAAAATCTGCTTGGCTGTGTTCTGCTGTGTCGCCAATTCCATTGGCAGTGAGATTAATTCAGAAAGTAGATCGCTATTTTTAGGATTAGAACATTTCAAACATCAAAGTAAACAACATATATGATATGATTTTCTTTTCATACCTAGAACCGCACACACCAGAGGCCGTGAAGGGATGTTCTTGTCCACCGCTTTTTTTCTGTGTCTCATTGGCTGAAAAAAATTACAGAATTTACTTGAGCTGTGAAATAGCAACGTCACTTATAAGAAGTGTAAGGAAATGAGAACAGCTCCTGCACACTGTCGTCAGCATAAAGCAAGACGGTGTGCGGAAGCTGTTCTCAATGTCTTGAAGTTCCAACATCCTCAGAAGCAGCTGTCACACATTCAGGTGTACAGAGATTTTTTTCTCCTTGTGTTAAAATGACCAAACTTAATACAGTGCAACAGTATTTGTCACACAGTGTGCTGACATACACCTTATGTAAGTAAAGTGGGCTCGCTCAGGCAATTACAACCTGACACTTTTAGGATGTTTTTTTTCCCCTGGGGAACCTCGACCACCATTTAAACAAGGTTTGTCATCATTTTACAAGAACGCATTTGTAAGACAAAAAACTTAAAGTAATAATCTGTGTTGTCATGAGTCTTAAAAGCTGAAGCTGCCACATAACATTTGCAAATCCTGTTGACAAAGTTGTACCTCTTATCTCTTTGCTGATCCTGTCCTGTACATGCCTATGATGTGTATTTTTTTTTTTTTCAAAATCTCCTCCTGCTGTCTTTTATTGGTCAAAGGTATCACTCACTGTGAATCTTTGCTGTGAAAATGTAATCAAAGGCTGTTTTGGCAGCAAGCTGTTAATCATGTGGTCTGACACCCCCATGGGCAGGCATTAAAAATTAGTATTTTGAAATAATCAATCTTATTCCTGATGTTCTTGTTTGATTTTGTAGGTCATATAGATTTTTACAGTCTGTTTTGTAACCAGTCAAAATGTGTCACAGAGCTCTTGCTGATAGGAAGGGAAATGTACAAGATCACTTGTTACACTGTCATCAATAAATTAGTTGTGCTCATTTCCAATTCTCAACTCACAACATGAAACTCACCATTTTGTGGAGATTGACTCTGAAGTTCATGTTGTCATCATGAAGAAAGGCATCAGCATACTGGTCCTATCACACACACACACACACACACACACACACACACACACACACACACACACACACACACACACACACACACACACACACACACACACACACACACACACACACACACACACACACACACACACACACACACACACACACACACACACACACACACACACACACACACACACACACACACAGGTGGAGTCAGAACAAAGACAGTCTCTGTGGTGGATTAAATGTCACAGCAGCGTACCTGCTCTTACCTCGGCTATGCAGGTGAGGATGATTAGGCACAGTCTGGCACTGTTGAGTCGATGTTCATCTGTAAACACACACATAAAAGGTGTTTAAAGAGGCGGCTTACTGAAAACAAACGTGTTATAAAGTGTGATAACACCGCTGGATTTGAAGAGGAGAGAATTTATTTGCCTTTGTGTTCAAATAAAAGTCATCGAGAACAGTAAAGGACAAAAAAAGTGAAAGAATGAATAATTATAGGAAGGCAGAGTGACAGAGACAAAGAAGGAGGAGGAGGAGGAAATGCATATTTACCTTTAGTGTCCTGCATTACAATGGAGGCATACTTGAGGAAGGTGATCAGAAGGTTGCTCGTCTGCAGGTTGGGATCCAGCGGCAGCTCAGGGTTGTTCATCACTACGAAACAGATGTACAAATAAAACTTCAATCAGGCATAATCACTACTACTTTGAATAACACCGATATGCTCTCTAACTATTAAGGAAAGGAGGGCCAATAAATATGTTAAGTACACAGAAAGACGACAACAAGCCAAACTTTGAGTCCCAGAACTGCTCAGTCTGTTATTTAATAAATAATGCTGTCCCACATACCTTAGCCCAAACTCAAAGCAAACTGCCTATCACAGAGACTAAAAAAGAGCTGTTACCCTTTAAATTCAGACAGGAGCGCATTCAAGCAAAAAACATCATTACAAAAGGTGATGTCTTTGTCCCGTTACTGAAGCTACTGTAGCTTTCTGTCTTGTCCAGACAGGCATCTTCATCCATTAAAGAAAAAAATCTCTGCCCACTCAAACATACAGCTTTGTTCCATGGATAAATGATGAAGGGGTCATTTCTATATTTATATCTCCGCCTGCACCCTTTAACCCAAATGTGTTTGCTTCATCTTCCAATCAGTGCAGAACAAAAGACTTCACCCTGTCAACAAACATGTCATTACAGAGGCTTTAATGTGGAAGGAAAAGTATGTTCCTCACGTGTGATTGTGTGTGTGTGTGTGTGTGTGTGTGTGTGTGTGTTTTTCTGGTCGAAGACGGTCCTGTGAGTGCTGAGGCTCCCATGACATGTGGTAATGCACGCAGCATGTCAAACATTCATCTGTATTTAAAGCTGTAGGTTAATATTTTATGGAGAAAATGACCCTTGGGTTTAAAGCAATGGAAGGAGAGCGAGCCAGATATAGAAACATGCACCTTTTAACAGTTACAGTGTGTGTGCTGAATGACCTGGTTACAAACGTGTTTGCGACAACATTCACCTTTTAAAGAAATCTGGGGTGACGTACGTGTAGTCAGGTGATGAATATGAGTACTTGTGTTAGTGTTATAATGTAGCTGTTAAAGTGGAATAATCTAGATTAGAAGTTTGCTTGTTAAGGATCTCTGTTGTATCACCTAACCTTTAAAATCTATTGAATATTTGAAAAGGCTGCTGTTGAGGGTACACGTGTGCCTCAAGGCAGGAGTGGGTGAGAGTCACCATGTTTAAAGGAATAGTTTTAAAAAATGCATGTTTAAACTGTTAAAACTAATTTGACTTGAAAGCCGACAAACCCTTAATCCCAAAACGCTGTTGCTCTATTTTCTGCCCCTTGAGTTTCGCTTTTTCAGTTCGAATGTGGAACATATGTACACATGTGACTAAAGCTGACCTCACGTCTCTTTGGCTCTTAAACCTACAAGTTGAAAACTTATTGAGAGCAAAAACAGGTTGCCTCCAAAATGAAGGACTTTGAAGACACTGAAACATATTGGAGGAAATACTGAATTTATTATTTTAGTTTGCACTTTTGGCAATTTTGACAGTTTGTTCAGGTAAAAGGGTTAAATTAAAGGTCACATATTATCCTCCTTTTCAACAAGTTTAAATAAGTCTTGAAGGTCCCCAGAACATGTCTGTGGAGTGTCTTGTCAAAAATCCACTCTGATGCTGTATTCGATCATGCCTATAAACCCCTCTATTTCAGCCCTGCTCAGAACAGGCTGTTTCTGTGTCTGTAGCTTTAAATGCAAATGAGCTGTGTCTGACCACGCCCCCTCTCTGGAGGGGGATGTGCCTCGGGCTTTCTCGCACCATGCCCAATCGCTCACAGTGAGAAGGCAGACTCAGAGGGCAGAACAAACACCTAGCTGTGGGAGTGTCACCCACCTGGGGGAGGGGTTTCTGCCCTTTGTGATGTCACAAAGGGAAAATCTCCAAACGGCCTGTTTGAGCACACTTTTTCTAAAAAGTGGAGTAGGCAAAAGACAGGGAAGATGGACATTTCTCATAACTAGGTGGTTTGTAGACAGACTTGGGACAGATATTAGTGCTTGAAAAACATGATAGGCAAATAGTGTTTTGCATAACGTGAAATTTAAGATGTTATCAACGTTAACCTACACGCTTTTAATAAAGACTAACAACTAAACATATCATTTACATACTTCATGGCCCTGAAACAGAGTTAAATTACCCCTGCTTCCTTTCATAAATTCACACTGCTACTGGTTTAATAGCTTCAGCTCAGCGGTCCCCCTCCTGAAAGGATCTGGTTCTAAAAACTTGCATGAAGGCAGTCAGAAAGAACCCAAATATAAAATTAAAAACCTCAAAAACCCATGTTCAATGCAACAGACACCACATCCATGTTTCTTACAGCCTGGCTCTGAAAAGTAAAAAAGGGATGGACTTACTGTCTAGGGAGGGCGGGGTTGTGCCAAGTGGTGTTGTAGGTGTGGTTGGAGTGGGCGTGGTAGGTGTAGTTGGGATGTCAATCTCTGGATGGCTCTGTTCAAAAACCAAACAAATATGTGAGATCATTAATAGTGAAAGGTTATCCCAGCACAGGCTGGACAGGAGGGCCAGATGAGGACGAAGGAAAGGGATTTTGGATGAGGAGCCTTAACTTCAGTTACAGCAACACGTGTCAGCAGAATGTTACATTGATCATCACGACTAATTTAATTTATCTTGTCTCTGTGAAATAATTCAACATTGCAAAAAAGCAGCCACATGGCTGAGTGTCCTCCTGGGAAAGTTTGCGTACGGTGTTTTGAGACACACACACGCACGCACGCACGCACGCAGCAAGAAATATTCAGGATAATTCACCACAGTGTCCTGTCCTGTTGTAGTTTTCAGGTAAACCTTTTCAAACCCACAATCTCCTCAGAGAATGAAAATGATTAAAAGAACGTGGGTGTAGTAGGCGAAAGATTTGTTTGAATGGAGTTTGTTTATATTTTATAACTTCAAATAAGGTGAGTCCATGTACACAATGAGAAAAAGTCATGAATCTCACCTGTGCTAACACCGTGATGAAGTTGCGGTTTAAGTGTACTGCCTCATACAGCGCCAACAGAATGGCCTCATTTGTCCTGAGGAAGAAAAAGAAGTTTGAGGTTAGAGTCAACTCACTCATTTAGAAAATAAAACCTCCAAAAGTTCACACAACATTAGATGGGGCAGGAAGAAGCTCCACGCTCTGATGAAGTCGAGCTCAGGGAAACAAGTGGAGGGGCAGTCTGGTGTTTAAAGTTATTAATAATTTCAACAGCAGGTCACTCTTTTAATTTCCTGTATCACTAACTACTGCACAATGTGTGCAACCACTAATACATCATTTTACATTCAATAGTAATGTTTATAAGTGATTTCACATTAAAGATGTTAACCACCGCAGTACACTGTGAAGAGAAACAAACTGTTTTAATGTTGCCACCCCAAACTTTTTCAGGGATTTAAATAAAACTCTAAAGTAGTCAAAAGGACTGATACATTGATGTTTAGAGCAGCAGCGGTCAAGCATTTTAAACAGTGAAGAGTGAGAGCAGCGTTTACAACATGATGGTTTTCATGAAAATTTAAATTTAAACTCCTGATTGGTTGATAGGTGCTCTTAAGCACAAACACACTCCTCTGCACAGCCCTTCATAAACATGCCAGGCTTTATGTGACAAAGCTGAGCACAGACGGAGCTGGCCTTTGATCTAACCTCAGTCAATCAACCTGCCAATGTTAACATCCATGAGACAGCAGAGAAAAGGGACTCATACAGCGTAGTATGCTTTTTTCCCATTTAAAAGATTTTTGGTAAATGGACTTGAGCTTTTATAGCACTTTTCTAGTCTGACTACTCAAAGCGCTTTTACATCGCAGGTCACACCTACACATTCACACACTGATGGCAGAGGCTGCTATGTAAAGTGACCATCAGTATAAACTAATCCCATTCATACAACGCCAACGAAGCAGCGAGAGTAACTTGGGGTTAAGTGTCTTGCCCAAGGACAGTTCCGATTGTCTGGTTGAGAGATAACCGACTCTACCACTGAGCCACAGCTGCACCCCCATGTTTAAAAGATGTTTATTAGATGTCTATGACCAATGTTGCAAAGACTTTCAAAACGGGTTAGTGTGTCACCCTGACGAAATCAAAATGATAAAACAAGAGGTGAGTTTCTGACATGTTGATGGTCAAAAACAGGTCTTGGATGGACCGACCTGATTTCACCTTTTTTTTTCAACCGAATTTGAATGTTGAATTCCCAGTTCTCACATCTCTCTGTGAGTGATTTGACCTGGTCATGAACCTGCAGGGGGCAGTTTGTGATGTCTTTCATTGGTCATACATGATGATTGCAAAGGATTGTTTTTTCAAGAGTCTTTACATCTTCTCTCTTACAAAACTCTCCTCATTGTGCTTCTTTTAGTTCTGCTTTGGTGTTGAAAGACAAAACGAGTATCCTCTTTTTATTCTAGTATTTGCATTGAAGTTCAAATATTATTATAATAAAAAACTCAAAGACCAGAACCAGGGCAGCCAGCAAAGAGTAACTCTGAGAGAAAACATTTGAACCAACAGTCTCAACTGTTTGATCTCATAAATGTTTCATATTGACTCTTACTGGTTATTGGTTACGATCATTTGCCTTTAAAAGAAAACGAAGCTGCACCTTGAGCCAATCAAATTTGAGCCTGTGCTTTAACAGCTACAGGCTCGAGTAAGAGATTATGCAGGATTTTCTCACTGAAGTCGTAGATAACAATGCAATTAGGTTTGACTGAGAAGCTAAGTTCACTTTGCACTTACTGCACCGAGAGTTTCTCGTCAGCGTCTGCTATAAACATGCTGCCCACCTGTAAGCAGAAGGAACAAGCTATCAGCAAACACTGATGAGGAACAAGTTGCTCCAGCAGCCACTTTCAAACTGAAGATAAAGCATTTAAATATACATCATAATAATAATAATACATATAGCACTTTTCTGAATACTCAAGGACACTTGCTACATCTATTGTAAAAGTTGAAACTGTGCATAAGATCCTACCATACTAGTGAGGGTTGAAAAGAAGCCCCCCTGGTTCTCCTCCTCTTTGTCTTTGTACTGCCTGAGAGGAGAAGGGAAGATCGGAAAAAGGACAGAAAGTGATTAAAACGAGGAGAAATGAAATGAAGGCAGGCAGGCAGGGCCATCCAGCAGCAGAGACAGAGATATATGATTCCACTCAAACAACACACTTGTAACCTAACACACATTTCCATAACATCTACTTCTACTTGCTGCTATTTATTATCGGAGGGGCATTCGGTTTTAACACAAAAACAATGAACTGTACAGAGCCATCATCCATCACTTTGATGCGTCTATTGACACAGGCAGACTTCCCAAACAGCATTTTAATTTCCAAACCTCTGCCTCATCTAAAAAAGAACATAACGGACTGACAAAGAAAGCTGTCGGATATAAATAACCCAAAGAAGAAAAGGGACGTTTTTAGTCAGGAGAATAGAAATAGAACATTTGTGGGAGACATTAAACTAAACGGATGACTCTACCGCCTCAGCCTGCCATGCACCACGTGATGAATAAACATGTTTTTGACATGCGGACATTTTTAGATCTCACCTGTTATATTCTGTCAGAGCGTGGTGGACAACCATCCCCATTCCCTGAGAGAGGGAGAAAAGTGTTTGAGTCAAACCCTTCACAATCAGCCTGACACCACACTGGTTACTTCAGATTGTGCAGTTATGAACTTACATCGAGGGTTGGCTCATCATCCACAATGGAGAGCTTCACTATGTACGGATTCACAGACTTACAAACAGAGGAAAGGAGTCAAATCAGAAGCAGAACTCAAAACTTCACTAATAACTGAACTGTTGATGAACTGTTGATGAAACTAAAGTTATACATGATGGTCTCTTACATAAACATGCAAGGTCCATTAACGCCACTACTTTATTGTTAGTTGCCAAGAACATGACTTTGGCCCCGTGTCCACCAAGCGCTTTTTTATTGAGCACCTGCGTCTCTTTTCAATTCTTTTCAATGAGGAGATAATTTGCAGCAGCCGACAGCCGTCTGGAGAAAAAGCGCGGCGCACAGCATCTTTTTTTAGAGCGCTCTGCCTTTTTTGTTCGCCCGCTACAACCGCTCAAGTTAAAAATCTTTCAACTTTTCAGAAAGGCGCTGTTGACATCACCGGCGCTTTTTTGCAAATGTAAGATATTCCCTGTAGTGTAGCCACCTACGGATCGTGTCTTGTACCCACATCCTCCTTGCTCCGTGTCTGAACGGGAAATAAACGATCTAAAAAAATGATGCAGTAAAAAGTAATTGAGCCGTTCCGGTCATACAGCGGCTGTTGTCATAGAGACAGGACGGACATTTAGCGCTTTTCTTCACAGAGCACAAACGCTTCATGCAAACACTCCCAAGCACACATCCAGCGCTTTTCTGCCCAGAACAAAACCCTACGTGGACACGGGGCCTGAATCATTATGCAGGACTGGTGTGCTTGTGGATAATATGAGGACTCCCATCTCCAGAAGTTTGAGAGTTTTTTTTCAGGCTGCAGCAATATCTTAAACTGTGAAAGTCGCAGAAAAGTTAAGCTGTGTTTTAAACATTTTGAAGCCCACATTCTGTCAATGTTCATCAAAGGATTCTTCTTCTACTGTTGCTTGCTTTGCCTACACATGAGAGTGCACCAAAACCTCAATGCTCATCCTTGTATCCCCTCCCCCACACTGCCATTCCTATCATTCCAAGAAATTACCGAAGACGGAGGTGAATTGGAAGTCATTTTAGAGTGGATGTTACTCTCAGTCATTTCATATAAATAAAAGGCCAGTCTGTGTCTTTGCTACCTGAGGTAACTCGGAAAGATATTTCCCAAAATCCCCCTTTGGAATTCACTTTTAATTTGTACTCACACTTTGGATTAAGTATAACGCCAGTTTTTGCATTAACAAGCACACATGAATTCAACTATGCAAATGTAAAGGCCAAAATTGTCATCATAGCACAAACTCTGTTGCTTCATCAGCTTTTTCTGTCGTTCATTTTATGTAATTTCCTGCCTCCCGCTGCAAGGTGCATGTGTGTACAAGCAACTAAAAAATTTTAAGGGCAGTCATCCTGAAATGTTCAATAAATTCTATCTATATCAGATAAAGATGTCAAGTTCAGAGTTCATAGAGACGACAAATCTGTCCTGGACATTCTGCACTAAGCAGCACAAATGTTAGTTTCTCGTGGCAGGAAAGGTGGACATTCATCAGTTAAAATGCAGACTAAGCCTCCCTGCTTAGAAAGGATTTTCAATAGACAACATCATTTGATAAATCTGCAAATACCTCATATTTCCTGTAGTTGACCAAAAGGGCCAGGAGAACGACAGCATCATAACCATGCTGCCCTCTACTGGATACATCTGACAGAATCTGAGAAGGAGAGAAAGGGACAGCAAATATGATCACAATTGGAAGAAAGACTGTTTTCAAATTAAACTCCCAGAATCACAGAAGACTCAATGTCTTCTGCTCATCGCTCACCTGCAGAATGGCTTCAAAGATGCTGTTGATCATCACATATTCCAGGATGGTGTTCTGACTTATATTGTCTGTTACCTGTAGACACAGTTTTCACATTAGCATTCCCAAAAGCCGAACATATTGTAGTTCATCTTCCTTTTTTTTTAAATATATTTTCTGCCTCACCGTCACAAGACACAGGAGCAGTTTGAGGCACAGACTCTTGAGACTTTCTGATCCGTCTCCACAGAGAAGGCTGTCCAGTCTCTCCATCAGGTCCTGAGAGACAAATCACATGAATAATGACAAACTGTTTATCTCTCTACTGTCTTTCTTCCAGATCGCACACGCACACACGCACGCGCACGCACGCACGCGCACGCACGCACACACAAACACGCACACACACCTTCATCCTTTGCTCAGCCTTGTCAAACCCCATCAGCATGTTGATGATGTCAAAGCCGGACGCAGACTTGTTCTTCTGGTGAACCCCTCGGAAAAGTGCACAGAGAGTCTGGGGAGGAAGGCAGAGGAGTAAAGTGACAGCCAGGAAACTTGAAACAAAAAAGCATTTCACGCTCAAGTCTTCTTGATGTTTAGAGCAGCAGCGGTCAAGTATATTGATGACACTAAGAAGACCTATGAACCCTTTAAGGCGAGACGTTTCACTACAGTTACAGTATCATCTGCAAGCTTCTGATTCTTCTATTGTGTCGTTACAATTACTTCATCTTCAGGGGTAAAGCATTGTGATCCTCCCAAAGTTGACCTATCTGCAGGACGTTTTGGACATTATGGCCTAAAGTATGCCGCAGATTACACACCACTTATAGGATTTATTCCATAATGACTACTGAGTGAAATACATTTAAATCTTTCTCCTTCTTTCTAATCTATTTAATGTATGATCACAGTAAGGATTGTGGTGATGAAATACTAATATACTGTATTATACACCAATCAGCTATGACTAAATGCCCACCTGCCTAATATTGTGTATGTCCTCTTTAGCCTCCCAAACAGCCCTGACCCATAGATGCACTGTGTGTTCTGAAACACTGTAGCTCTTCTGTCGTCTTTGACATCCTTTGCTCCCCACGCACATGTACTGCATGTGCTGGTACTTCCTGTTTTGTTCTTGCTGTTCTCTTGTTTCTGTATCTTGTACCTCTGCACCATTGCAAATGAGGTTTCTCCCTCAATGTGTGTTCCGAGGATTTAAATAAAATAAATGATGATGACATCAATGAGCCTTTGCCACCAATAACCCTGTCACCGGTTTTCTTTCCTTGTACCACTTGTGGTCGGTACAATGACCACTGCAAACCGGGAACACCTCACAGGAGCTGCAGAGTTTAAGATTCTATGACCCAGTCGTTTGGCCCGTGTCACAGTCACTCACATCTTTACCCTTCACCATTTTTCCTGCTTCCAACATATAAAGTTCAGGACAAGATGTTTGCTTGCTGCATAAAATATTCCACCAACTACAAGCGTCATTGCAACACACGATCACTATTATTAATTTCACCTGACAGTGTTAGTTACGTTACGGCTGATTGGTGTATAATCCTCTGACACTGGAAACTCATCTTTTTTATGTAAAATGCTACCTACTTGATCTGCAAGTATTTTCACCAGAACACCTTCTTCACATATTACACACCAGGGTTAAATGATTCTGCTAATGTTATCAGAGATTTTGAGTTGTTTTCAGACAGTTGTGTCTTATACAACTCACAGAACCACACACTTATCCCACATGCTTCTCTGACTCTGTATGAGATGCTGGAATAATTTAGCTGTGTTGCTGCTTTTATGTGTCACAGATCAAAGACAAACTTTACAGGCAGCAGTGATTTGCTCGAGGTTAGAGGCTTCACAACTGAACCACTTTCAGACTAGTGAGGTGCTTCTTTGGAAACAAACCCCAAACTTTTATTAACGGTAGCTAAGAACTCTTATGTAACAATTACCTACAGGAGGTGAGTGAAGGGTTTGCTTTTTAAAGGATGTCATAAATCACAGATTCCAATTAATGGATAAACAATCATCTATCGGCCAACTCTACCTGCAGAGCATTGACCACTTTGATCTGGTGCTCCTCTCCCAGTGCCTGGACACAGTGGTGGAACAAAGAGTTGATGTTGTCCTGGATCCGCTGAACCTCCTCCCCGTCTACACTCTCCAACTTTGACTCTAAGTACTCCAGGTTCACCTGAAACATGGTTGAAGGACAATAAATAAGGATGTGATGTAAAAAATCTGTTATTGATGGTGAAATGACATTTTCAAAGACAATTTCACAATGACCTTATGTCGAAACAGCCTCGGCATAGACAATTAGAAAGGAGAGGAAGCAAAGCAGCTGCAGTCTAAATGCTCAGATCTCTAATTCCTCTTTTCTCTCCATACAGTACAATATCTCCAGGCACATTTAACTGATGAATATGAGTCTGAATGCTGACTTTTTGGCCATGCTGTCATGATGCCTCCATATGAAGTTTTTAAAGGTCAAACTTGAACTGTAGACTTGTAACATTTGAGACGAGCTATGACAGCTTGCTGCTCTTCTACACATAGGAAGGGCCTCCTTTTGATGTATAAACAATATTGTGTAAATAATATACACACCTATGACAATAACAGATGTTCAACTGATGTTCTTAATATTTTACAATTTTAGCAGAATCTCTTTCACTGATGTGGAACATCTGTCTCTGTTAACATTAATAAACAATAGGCGTCAATTTGTATACCAAAATAACCTAGTGAGAGTTTGTACTTTAAACACAAAAATACATTTCGACCCAACTGTGTGCAGCTTTTTGTCAAGCATTTCTCTGTTTGACTTCACCTTCATTAGAAACAGCTCATCCCAGAAGCGAGGGTTGTTTTTGGCTGGATCTTCTTTCTAATTCACAGAAAAAGACAGGTCTTCGTTTACACTGTGTGCATCAACTTTTTTTTACAAATTCTCAATTTCACATCTTCACTAACATTCTCCCATTGTAGTACTCACCGCAAAAATCTCATCATACATCAGCACCACCTTCTCTTTTAGGGGTTTCTTTGAGGACGAGGTCCTCCGCAGCAGCCCCGCCTTCTTCTCCACCTGAGACATGACTAAGTCTGAGGAAAGACACAAATAACGTGGCATAAATCACTCAGATTTCTACTGATCTTTGTGATTGGATTCAATAAAAGATCAGAAGAATATTCAATACCTATGTTGAACCCAATAAATACATTTCAAAACAACAACAACAACATTGGTTTGTTTGTCTCTCAGTTCTTTTAAACAAGCTCATTACTTCCTACTGAAGGTATAAATCACAAAACATTGAATATGAAATTTAAAAAACACTAAGTGTGTTGTTTACAGCACAAGACATGTAGAAAGAAACATGTAGAATTTACCAAATATAAACTGCAAGATCCATATTGGTCATTGTTTTTTTTTTTTTTTTTTTTTTTTTGGGGGGGGTGTGCCTTCATTAGAGAGACAGGACAGTAGATAGAGCCGGAATCAGGGAGAGAGAGAGAGTGGGGGACGATATGTGAGAAAGGAGCTACAGGTCGGACACGAACCCAGGCCGCCCACCTGGAGGACCACAGCCTCCGTACAAGGGGCGCGTGCACCAACCACTGCACCACGATCTCCCATATTGGTCAAAAATACATATAAACCTGTGCAACAATTTACCACATGGAATTAGTTAGTTGAAGTTACCACAGAGGACTAGGGTACATCAGGCTGGGGCTACACACACAATGGATCTATTCATTGATGTTTTCTATTCCTAAGCACTGAACACATAACCTGTGGGTTTGATTGTAGCCTGTACACCTGTCTGCTGAGGTCACTTTCACACACTCAATAAGGTGAACAAGACCTGACACTTGAACGCATCACAATGCAGTCTGAATCAATATTTCACTAATAATGACGAGGAGTTAGTGAGCTACTGACGTCACGATGTTAATCCTCTGCTGACGTCACAGAGAAGTGACGTCACGAGTGAACGTAAACCTTAAGCTGACAGGGGCCAGAAAACACACGTTTGAGTTATTAACGTAGAAAAGGCGTAAACACTTACATGTTACTACATTAGAAAGGTGGTTATAAGCGGACACATTTGTAGGCACATGAATGTAAACACCTTTCTACCTGAGTGTGGGTTGGGTTGGGCTGCTAGCTCTTTAGCCGACGTTAGCTACCTGACTTGTCGTGTCAGCTAATTGGGTTTGACTACCATCAAAACAATGCAAACAATAACGTGGTCACGTTGAAAAGCACTTCTGTTTCAGCAGTCAACACTAGATGAACACTTAATGTGTAAGCAGTCAGCTTATGAAGCTTAAATCTAACAATGTGTTCAGCTTTCGAAGCTAATGCTAATGCTAATGCTGGTATACAAAGCAAACACTGATTTAGCTTAAGTTATCTCATAAGAGTTCAGTTACTGACAGCAGTGCTGTTTTTTATATCAAGGTAGCGTCAGTTTAATGAAGAGTGCGTTTTTCTCACCTCAATTGAAGCACTAAAATGTAAGTAGTAAATGTGGTTCATGAATCCTTGTGACAGCACTAGCCTGTGTTAGCATCGTAGGTTAGCATAGTGCTACCGACAGCCTCTGCAGGGTCCTAGCGCCCCGCGGGTCACCTCTCTGCGGGCTTTAATGAAGGTCACTGTAGAACTATAAACCGCATTTTATTGTTATTTTAAACATATTTGCCTTCAACAAATCTATAAAAAAAACGGATTCTCAATTATTGTATTTTAATCAAGGAGGGTTGCTATGCAAAGACAATTAAGATGTTTATTGCCATTTTCACAGGTACAGGACAGTACAGGTGCATTGGAAATTTGGTGCATTTCTCCTAGAGTCAATTCTACAGAAGTGGAAGAGCAATATTAAGGATAAGAAAGCAGAAAAATAAGTAGTTATATATATATATATAACACAATAAATATACACTGTACAAAAACTATACACTTTTATTTAACTATAAAAGTAGATTATTTGACTTCATCATAGAACCTTTTCGAACATGGACTGGTTAAGGAAAAAATAATCGAGCCACTACAGAAAGTATGCTTTGATTGCTGTTTGCTTTGTTTGGTATGTATATATATATATATATATATATATATATATATATATATATATATTTTTTATTTTATTTTTTAAAATAAAATACAATGTAATAAAAAATGTTTTTCTTGTCCTGAGAAGTTTGTACATCTATGATTGCACATGATATTTTTCACACACTGATTTTTTTTTCACATTATACAATTGCATTGTTTTTTTCCCCAAGGTTATTAATACACAATGTTATTGGACTGTGAGATGGTGCACTGTCCATTGACTAGGTGAGGTGTGGGTTGTGGTATTTCCTTCCCACCTTAATTTCCTGTGCTATGAGTCGTACAGAAGAAGCTGCTGATGTGGAAGCGGGCTTTGTGAGTTGCCATGTTCTCTGGCCTGTGGTGTCTCCAGTTGTAGTCTTCCACCTGAACAAAGCACGGGCTGGTTTGAGGATGCTCTGTGTGTTCCTCTTGCAGTGCTGTCTGTATAATGGGTCCATGAAGAGGAGGTATAGAGCCCCAATTTACCTTACAAACAACTTATAATATATAGGAAACAAAGTTGGTTAACTCTTGAGGACTATTAGTTTCTAATTATTAACAAAGGACTGAAGTGGTTCTTTGTCTCTGTCTCTTTCTTTGTTCACTTATTGCTGATTTGATTCCCATGCTGAGTAGAAGATAACCTAATATCTTTAGCATTCAAACTGAGACTAGACATTCAGGCATTTAAAAGAAGAAGAAAAAGAAGATACTATTTATTAATCCCTCAAGGGGAAATTCAATTTTACACTCTGTTGTTGAGACATGCACACACACAAAGGCTGTAATACACACACACACACACATGCACAAACAGGACCCTATTGACATGCACTAATGGAGAGATGTCAGAGTAAGGGGCTGCACATGAAAGATTGCCTGAGCAATTGTGGGTTCAGTGCATTGCTAAACTTGGCAGTGCTCAGGAAGCGCACTGGCACCTCTCCAGCTTCCAGGAGTTCTAATCCGACCTGTGGCTCCTTTACCGCATTTCATTCCCTACTTTCTCTCTCTCCCCGGATTTCCGACTCTTTCCACTGTCCTTTATCCTCTATAAAAAGCCCAAAAATAAATAATATATTCATGTCTTAAATTAGTTAAAATAAAAAATCTATGTATTTTCCTAAACCCATTTTGTGCACTACTGAAGTGGCAGTTGTCTAACATTTTAACATCCTAATGAACCACAAAGAGGAGGTAGACAAGTCAGCCAGGCGAAAAATATAAAAACACTATCCAATTTACTGTACATTAGATTATTTTATTGATTATTAATTTTACCTTTATTTCACCTGTAAAATATTCTCTTTGAGATTCAAGTTTCCCACTGAGAACAAAAGATGGTCAATAAACAAATATAACATCACTCAACAAATCAATCTTTATACCTTAAAGCTCTATGATAGACCTGTGTGTCTGCACCAAGAAAATATATTGCTCCATGGTTTATCTTCCACCTCAATGTAACAGTTAGTTCTTCCATGTTTTGACCTCATCAGTTCATTGGTAAATTAACTACCATCAAGGGTGCAATATATCTGGTAAAGACTACACAGAGTTCCTCAAATTGAGGAATAAATGAGACAAGCTTTTACCGTGTCATTAGAGAAGGAGATGAGACGAGAGAGAGGAAGGGAAAACAGACTTAATGAGAGAGATGGAGAAGCAAAGAATAGCTGCTGAGGAGTGAAGAAGAACATTAAGTGACACACACAGAGCACAAAGCAGAGAAAGTTTCACACACACACACACACACACACACACATATACATAAATAAATACAAATATGCCTACTAACCTATGTAGGGCATTTGTTTTTTATTTGTCTGTTGCTTTCGGTGGCTGGGAGGTGCAAAACCAAAGTTATCACTTTTACAAAGCTTGAGACAAATTTACATTTTGGAAAACATTTACATTTGTACATGCATTTACTTTTACATTTTAGAAAACAAATTTACAAGATGAAAAACACTTTTAGAGACTCTATAAAAGTGTGTTGCCACATGTAATTTTGTCTCAGCACTTGTAAGTTCACATCTTGTAAATATTTAAAATGTAACTTTGCTTTGTCCTTGGTGAAAGTGTTTTTCTTTTGTAATTTTGTTCTCATAAAATGTTAAATGTTTTCCAAAATGTTGATTTGTCTCACACTTTTTAAGTTTGGTTTGCACTTTCCAGCCACCATACGGTTGCTGGATGATTAGTACAAGAAGGTGGATTTTTAACCTGAATTCTCTGGTTTTTTAAAATATTTATAAATGTTATAAATTATATATAAAAGCAGCTCAGCCTTAAGAAGTAAAGAGGATGAGCAGAGCATGAAGTGAGATATAAGTGGTGGTGTTCTTTGTGCCAGACAGGTGTGATAGTTTCGTCGCCTTACAGAACATCACCTCTTATTACCTCTGAACACAGTGTCCCAAAGAGGTTTTTCGCTGCAGTACTACGTTTATCTTCCCTTGTGACACACATTAGACACACACACTTCTCTGCAAAGACATACTGGTACTTTTCCCAGTATAGACCATTATAGTCCAAACTTCCCTGACCAGTCAGTACTAGTGCACAATTACTTTGAAGAATGAAGATTTACTGTTGTTGCCAGTTTTTATTCAGCTAAGCAATTTTATGTTTCAAATTAAACGCCCCTTAAAACCTTCCTAAATTACAGTCTGATGGTAAAAACACTTTGTTTTGAGAGACTGAGTCATGTTTCATGTTGTAATAAAAACCAGTGCAAGTATTAAGTGAAACACATGGCGACCACCATGAGAATCAGTACAAGTTCATCAAAATCAAACACATCATAATTCTCTTTGGCAAATCCTACTTTATTACAAAAACTGTTTCTAACCCTTCAGCTTCACTGCAGTGATTTCATCAAACACTAAGACTCAGTTTGTGCTTGACGGCTGTAAATCATCCCTGTGGTAACGTCATTAATGGTCACAAGTGCCTGAAGTTGATGCAAAACATTAACACATTTAACTAAGGAAACGACAGACAGAGAGTCTTGAGAACAGTTGAGCGTGCACTCAACATATTGTTACCAGATGACTAATTAACTTGCTCACATAGAACAACATTATTTTGTTTTGCAGCACTGAAAGTATAACTGGGCTTTTGTATCAAGAAATATAAAATATAAAGTTATTGTATTTAAAAAAGGCAACCAATAGTTTTGTGTAGTCAACAGTAATCCTTGTAGTCTGAGGCTTACACACCTGCCTGAATAAATTGTATTATGACTGTATCCAATTTTCTACCTTTTATGTTCAAGGCTTTTGTTCAACTTATAAATGGGCTTGAATTGGTTAAGAGACGGAATACTGAGGAAGCAAATACTTATAAGTGGCAACCTCTGGTCTTGAAAAATGAAGTCAATGTGGAAGTGCAAAATCCTGCAGTTCCTCGAGTGTCCACTTGAGGCTGGCTCCAGGAACACCAGAAGTCACATACACACAACAGCCAAAAAACCTGGTGTAACGGTTCGTCAAGAGGCTTAAAACCCGCCTCAGCTCCAGCTCTCAGTCTGTCGTTAGGTTGACTGAAAGTTAAGTTGAGACAGCATTTCCAGCATGGTGGCTGCTGCCGATGAGCCTCCGGAGCCGCCTGCAGTAACAGCTGGCTGACGTCACTCAGGCTTCATCCATTAATATTTACAGTCTATGGCAGAAACACATAAAATGACGAAAAGAAAATTATGCAAACTCAAAGAAAGATTCTTGTTTTAGTTCCATTAATCATATGAAGTTGCTGGGATTTACTAGATTTATTATATATGTGGTCTACCAAATGCAGAGTCATCCTCTCTGTTTCTGTCTTTTCCAAACTCACTGATGTTTTTGAATAACAAAAAAATATCAGCAGGTATGAAGATATCACTAAAATAGCATAATGGCTACATTTAGGAGGAAGGCTGCCTGCACTGCCATGCAGGTGAGAGTTTTCATTAAGTTGTCACAGCTTCACTCTCAACCCACAAGACTCTCGTTGTTCCAGCAGGCTGAAGGCTTCACTGACTGTCTGCAGGAACAGTGTGTGACACAGGGAGCGGAGTAAATGCCTGAAGAGAGGGTGTGATAGTTGGCAGGTGGACGAATGTGTGGCAGGCCGGTGTGTAGAACTATCAGAGCTCAACACGGAGAACCGTAGTCTGTGAGCTACAAGTATAATAAATTGTTATTTTCATGTGCACAATGATGTGACACATTTGTTACTAGTACTCTATAGGGCTGCCCGAACCATGAGAAAAATTATTTCTTTTTTTACAACAGTAAGATGCTTTCTCTACCTTAAATTGAACTTTACAAACTGTAAAAGCAGTTTCTTAAGTGATTTTGATTTCCACATCTTGAGAGAATCTGTGCTGCTGCTTTGTTCTTTTATCACTCTTTCTTGGTCTGATGTAGGCTTTTATCAACAGCTAAAAGCAACTTACTTCCCCATGGCATAAAATACCTGCAGGAGATATTGCCTTAGGGATAAGATCTAAAGGGGACTAGTATACCCGGCAGCACACCTTCAAGCTTTTCTGATAGCTGAACTTCCTGACAGAGAAGCTAGAAGAGACGAGAGGTTTGTTTGAAAAGAGTTAGGTTCTGTAAATCAGGATGTGAAGAAAGGGGAAATGTGAGAAACTGAAGCTTTTCTTTTACTGTAAATCCTCCTCTGCCATTCTGGTGACTACTTGAAGGCCAGATTATCATCACACAGAACAGCTTGTCAAAACAGTTGTTAAATGTTAAACTATAACTGGATCTCTCTGAAGTTCGTTAAATTAACCTTGATTAAACACCAGACTGTGTTAAGTTGCATTGTGGGATTTGTAAACTTGTGTGTTTTGAACTTAAAGTCAGGATATGTCAGCTTCTCCTGCACCACTTCTGTCACCGTAAATCTCTTAAAAAGCTAAACAAGAATAAATACCCATGGAAAAGTGCTCTTACAGGCGGAAGTAGCTCAGTCTGTAGGATCTTGGATTGGAAACAGGAAGATCACCGGCTCAAGTCCCCAATGGACTGAAGTATGGAAGTTGCTCCAGTTCCTCCATCAGCCCCTGCTTGTGGCTCAGTCGGTAGAGTTGATTGTCTCTCAACTGGAAGATTTGGGGTTCGTTCCTGAGCTCCTGCAGCAACACGTCCGATGTGGCCTTGGGCAAGACACTTAACCTTAACAACTTAATTAAATGACATTATTTAGGTGTTACAAAGGGAATAGACATTATGTGTCAGCTGTGATAATGACTTCAAAATCACCAAATGCACACACTGTTAAAGTGAAAATGTATCTTTTTATTGGTACCATACATTAATTATCAAGGGCAGAAACTAACCAAATCAAAAAATATATATCAAACGATGATTTTTCTACAGGGATTGGAGAAGGTACAAGTCACCATTCAAACACAATCAGAACTGTTGCTGGAATCAACTGTAAAGAAATGAACTAGTACAAAATCAACAGAGCTCCAGCTGTGTCTCTCACACTTTACAGTCAGCATTGCTACCAAATATGCCGAGTGAACTTCATGGTGAGCTGGCTTTAGAACATGTTTGGATGATTGATGGTATCACTCGATTTGTCTTGAGAGACTTACATGAAAGCACTGAAACACAGCCAGTGATGAAACATGAAATTCACCGGTTAACTTAAAAATCAGTGAGCACATTCTCTTGACATCAGGTTTAGAGCTGCAGTACATAAATTGTGATGAAAGTTAGTGAAAAAAATCACTTCCTGTATGGATGAAATAAACGAGTTAAGTTCTAAAATTTCAAAAATAAATACAAAAAAAATCAACTCAATCATCTCTTCATGGTGTCATTGTACCCTCGAGGGTTTTGTAATTTAATTTACACAAGTTTTAAAAAAGAGGGAAGAGCAGGGGGGAGATAGAGGGGACAGGTTCATGAGTGTTTTTTCTCCTTTTTCCTATTTTTGTTTCTTTACATTAGATCGGGATGGCTTTAGGTAAATCTAAGTAAGAATACATTTTATTACAGTCAGACAGAACTTTGCTACTACCTTAAATATACAAGCACAAATACACAAAAATTTAAATCTCCAAAAAAAAAAATAGGAACAAAAAGACAAAATAAGAACATCCACACTAAATTATTTCTCTTTTATCAACATAAAAGATAAAAACAATATATTTTAGAGGGGGGAGGGATAAAAGTCCTGTTTTGCTCCTTGGTCTGTAGCTTTTCAGTATTGGTAGAAAATAAAAAAGTAACAATTGAAATGAAGGCGTTTAATACAAATTAAAAAACATTCTAGGGAAATATATACTGTATAAAAACTCTTAAAATGTGTTACTGTGTGTGTGTGTGTGTGTGTGTGTGTGTGTGTGTGTGTGTGTGTGTGTGTTGTAAATGCTCTGTTTGAAAGACTCACTGTAGTTTGTTTAGAGACAGCTCGGGCACTAGGGGACTCAAATCCTTCAAACTCACATGTGTCAATGTTGTGTGAGTGTGTGTGTGTGTGTGTGTGTGTGTGTGTGTGTGTGTGTGTGTGTGTGTGTGTGTGTGTGTGTGTGTGTGTGTGTGTGTGTGTGTGTTGTGTGTTTGCCTGTGTGTAAAGTTTTCCTAGTGCCACATTTCAGCTCTCCTACTCATGTGTGAAGTTCAATGGTTTTATAGAGTGGCTCTAAATTCTGGTCTGCCAGCTTCAGCAAAGACACACAAATAAGCTCAGACTGCCTTCTTTCTCTCCTCACACACACACGCACGCACGCACACACACACACACACACACACACACACACACACACACACACACACACACACACACACACATCCTCTATAAAGAGACATTACCGGTGACTTGTCCTTCAAACAGAGCAGACCAGAATTCAAAGCCGTATTTAGAGGACTGGTGGACAAGTGGTCCCTAAGCAACTCGCCACCGTCTGGACGCCCATGTCGCCAACATGCCCTCCACCCTTAAAGCCCTCTGCTGACCTACACCTGGACTTCAGTGTGGATAGTTAAGTGAGCACAGTTCTTCTCCTTTGGGTAACATTCCCAGGCCTTCTCAATCACATCTTCCAGGATCAGTGTCCAAAACGAAAACAAGCGAGAGCAGGAGATTTTGAGTGTGAGATGAGGAAAAGGGAGGCAGGTGGGACACATATGAAGAAGTCACAGCAAAGAGGAAACCTTGTGAAATTCTTCCAGCTCAATGACAAAGTCTGAGACACACTGAGCATGAATCTGATGAATCTGAGCTCGACAGTCATGTCTGGGGCTTGCCGGCGGGTTGTCGCTGTTGCAAGCATGGCTGTTGGGTTGGGGGGGGGGCGGTCTGTAAGAAGTGACAGAGAGAGGAGGGGATGTTTGTGTTGAGGTTTGCAGGGCTCTGGGCTCTACTGCGATGCCTGTGAGGTGGGGTTGTCGCTCTTGCTCTCCTGGCTGGAAGGGGCCTTGTTGTTCCAGGGCGAGTTGGAGCCCAGCGCAGGCGAGTTGTTGAAGCTGTCCTCGTCGTCGATGCCGTTGGCGGCGTCAAACTGCGTGTTCTCCAGCCGTGTGATCAGACGCTCATCTTCATCTCCAAACTCTCCCCCCATCAGTGTGGGCTCACCGACTACCATCACATCCTGCAGGGACACAAAAAAGAGCCCCGACATTTAATGTGTTTGTTATGTGGAGGAGGAACGCAGGTTTGGACATGAAAAACTACAGAAAAAAAAAATATTAGACATAGGTTACTCTTTATCCAAATACTGCAAACTACTAGGGATGATTCTAGTGGCTTATTGATAATTTGTCTAAACAAATATTTAAATTTAGGCTACGCAACGAGTCTAAAGTTAAGAAAACACTCAGGAAACAATCCAAGTTGAGCATGATTTTTAACACGGCGAAACAAGGTATGACAGAATCAGCCGAGTGTGGCTAGTGTTAGCAGTTCTAGTACCGCCAGCCTTGTGTCCTCCTTGCAGGTTCAATGCGCTCATGCATTGCTTTGATTGAGTTGAATTCAACTACAACCTAAACGCAGCCTACGTACTACTTTATCACCCTTGTTTTGATTAAAATACTGCCAAACCACACTGTGCTTGTTTAACAGAGCATAATAATGTAGCTGTTAATTGGAGCTACAGTCCCAGGCTATTTTAGATATAACTGGGCTCTGACCAGCAAAGTGCGCCTGAATTGATAGAAATGTTGATAATGAGTCGACCGACTAGTAATTCTGTCCACATGCCGACTGAAAACTCTCCTTAACAAACAATGCCCTTGAGTATGTTCAGTGACACCGCGGCCGTTTTCTTGCTTTTTGGCTTCAAAGAGGGAAAAGCCAGTGTTCAAGACATTAGTGAATATTTTCTTGGTTGAGCTTTCTTTTATCACATACAGACATACATTCCTCCCTCATCCTTTACTTTTAAATCCCCATCCCTGTTGGACTTGTCATGTTGCAATGTTTCTCCTGAAGAGAAGTATTTGGCTTTTAATCAGACAGAGCATTTATACGAGCCAAAAACATAATTATGTCTCATTAAACCGTTAAACTTTCTCCAGCTCAAAATCAACTCCCACAAACCTTCTGTCAGAAATCTAACTCCTCATCCAACTTTTGTAAGTCAGACACTAAATTCAAACTCTTTCCTCCATCAGTAACTTTCTCTAAAGTTTGTCACGTGTTTCTAGAGATGCACCACATTACCAATGTTTAAAATAAAAAAAGCCACTTCTGATGCCTAAGTTTTTTCATAACTTCTTTGCAGTTTAACATTTCAGTTTTTCATGAGCTTTTTGATTTGATGTGTTTAAATTGCTCTAAGTAGTCCCTCCTCTTGAAGTGCCATTGCATGTCTTACTTACAGCATGTTGTAGATTTTTTTCAAGAGACACCTCCGCTATCAACCTTTTGCCTTTTTTTAGATTAGTTTTTTTGCCTCTATTCACACAGGACTGTGGAAAGAGTTGGAAACCGGGAAGGACAACAGAGGACAACAGCCCCTTTACATGGGGCAAACCGGCTCCTAATTTACTAGTGCATGTTTGACAATGAAAAAAAAACTATCCGAGTTTCTCCAACATACTAGCTTGCCAGCATAAAATTGATTCAACAGCAGATACACATTGGCTTCTGACATCTGTGCATGTGACATCATTAGACAATTCATGCCACTGTAAAATATATTCTTATTTCCCCAAAGGCCATTTATGTACAAACCACTATAACACCATCGAGAAAAAATCTACATCTCTGGTGACGAGCTGTACCTGAATGCATCACAGCTGTATTTATTTTGGTGTAATACAATGTCCTGTCACCGTGTCCTGCCTTAGTTGCTATCTAATGACAACACATGAAGAAATGAAACAGTGTATGTATGAACGCAGCGCTAATGTTTCTGTTTGGAGGTGTAGTTGCATGGTACCAACACTAGAGAGCAGCGATGTACTCACTGGAACTTGGCTGGAGAGAGGGAAGCCGCTGCCAGGACTCTTCTTTTTGTTGTTGTTGTTATTATTAGTTCCTCCTCCTCCACTGATGGTGCTGCCTCCTGACATCTTACGCTTCCGCCGTTTGTTTGGGGCTTGTCTTGACGGCTCAGCTGTTGAATTAGGATGGAGAGAAAGACGGTTAAAAAAAAAAACATTCTCAGTGGGTTAATCTGGTGTCTGCCTTCATTTGTGATGTTTAGTTTGCCTACCTGGTGGCGCCACCATCCTCTGCCATTTCTGGAATAGGCAGGTCTTGAGGCAGTCTCTGGGGCTGAGGCTGTACGTCTTGTGTCTGGACATCAGCTCCTGCATGGGCTCCAGAATCACACACAGCTGCAGGAGGGAACGGAGAGTTTAGAGATTACACAGTGTTTAAGATCATTAGAGATACTCCGATCGATCAGGCAGCATCATTAGCAGCTGGTGTTCCCTGTAATGACTTCATCTGTATCAGTTCTGACATCAGATAACCAGATATTAAATACAATCCAGGAGGGAATTAAAGAGAGCAATCCAATAAACACGAGTTTCCATCACTCACACTTATTACAGCCTCTCCCTATTCAAGGCAACCATGTTTTAGATTCATCCTCCTCTGGATCTGAGGCAGAGCTATTTACTCAGTCTTTACCACAGACAACTTGAGTTCAGGTATGTTTTAACTTCAAGCATCTATTTAGCCTTCTAGTAAGGCAGGAGTTGCCATTCCTAAAGATAACAAGACATTTCAAGCTATCAATGTTTCACAGAATAGAACTGGGTTTCTCAAACTGAGGTTCCTGATCCCCCAGGCGGTCGCCAGGGGGTGCTTGAAGGGTTGTAATAACTTGGAGGTGGGGGGAATTTAAAAAAAATAGATGTCATTATTTGCTGCATATTAACATTTGTATTCTTTTTCAGTGCCAATCGTTCATTTAAATAAATCACACACACCAGTCGAGCCAATCAGAATCGAGCAGCAATGAGTGACACCGATATAGAAGAAAGTTGCTGTACCACTGAAAGCTAGCTAGCTACCTTAAAACAAAAAGACTGTTCAAAGAAAGGAAAGACATCATGAATGTAATGAATGAAATCTAAAAATGTTTGTGTACTGTTGCTATTATTTTTGTTAGTGTTAAGAAAAATAATAAAGGTTTTATGTCCGTAGCATAACAACGTTAGGGAAGCCTGCATTAGAGAGCAATTTAAAATACATAGAGTCTCTCTCTCTCGTCCCAGCATGTCAGGGGGGACTGTGAAGTGACCTACAGCTAACATTGGCTATGTTTGTTTTTGGTACAGTGTTCAATGTTGTCATTAAAACCAGTAGAAACACAAAACTCAAGTTTGAGTCAAAGTTAGGGGTGAAATATCAGTGTCTCCCGGGTGCTGGTAGCGTAGTGGATAGTGCACACACGCCATGTAAGGAGGTTTAAGTCCTCTGTGCGGACAGCTCGTGTTAGAATCCGACCATGGGCCTCTTTGCCCGCAAGTTATTCCGCACTCTCTCGCTCTGATTTCTGACTCTATCCACTGTCCTATCTCTACAACAAAGGCACAAAAAGCCTGAAATTTGTAACAATCTTTTAAAGAAAAAAATCAGTGTCTCTGCTGTGCTCTTCAGTTGACACAGAGTCTCCTGTGAAAGACTTCCGGCCAAAGAACCATTAATGTTTACAATTTAAATTCACGTTCACTGTAGGTTTTGGTCTCTCTGTTTCACTTCTCCTCCGTCACAGAAGACGTTTACTTTCTTCACCGTCCATTCAAACAATGTTTCACAGTTGGGAAGTAGTTATGTACCGATGCAATAAACTATACACCAACTAGCTGTCGTCACTATTGCTGCTGCTAGGCAGGATTAACTACACTGACTAAAAGTCTACGGTCTCATCCATCTAAATCTGATCACAGTCTCAAATCAAGATTTGAAAATGCCCATTCCTTATTAAGACATATTTAGTAGTTGCATTTGAGTTGTGCTAATATTGTTTCAAAGAAGGGCCTTTTTGGAAAACGGCTTCAACTCTGGACTCAAAGAGTTAACACTGGACGGCTGTGCTCAGTTGGTAGAGTCGGCCATCTCTCAATGAGGGGTTCGATCCCCAGCTCTTGAAGCAACATGTACAATGTGTCCTTGGGCAAGACACTTAACCCCGCATTACTCCTGCTGGTTCTTCAGTGGCGTATGAATGTGTATGAATGGGATGAGTTACTTCTGATGGTCACTTTAGCAGCCTCTGCCATCAGTGTCTAATCGCTAGGTGAGACATGCGGTGAAACTGCACTTTGAGTAGTAGAAGACTAGAAAATGTACTAATAGTAAGTCAATGAAGAGGACAAAGAACAAGAACGGGGTCTTTCCAGAGGTCAAATCTTGTGTGCTCACTTACTCGGAGGTAGTTGAGGGTGGAGTTGGACAGGCCACATCTTGTAATGTTTTTGGACAGCTGGTCCAGCATCTGTGGGTCCTGGGCCTGAGACATCAAAAGGAGACAGGTTATAAAGCTGAAACACACACACACACATTGTCTTCCTGTCCGTCTGCACTCACATGCATGGCCAGTATGCTGCGGGGGATGAGTTCACGGTGTTGTCTGATGCTGAAGTGCCACGTCTTTATCCTCATCATGTCGTCAAACATGAACTCCAGGTACAGACGCCCTTCTACACACACCTGCAGCAGGTCAGAGGTCAGAGGTCAGTATACAGCATTTAGAGGTAGCATGACTGGGGTCTCCTCCAGGAAACTTTTAACCCCAAACATTTCTCTTCCTTCATTCTGATCAATTCTAAGGCATCCATTTGTGCATTTTCTGCAGAACTTTATAATAATAATTTAGTCCTTAGTCCTCTTTTGAAATCTGTAACTACATTTTCACACAGATAAATGCATCCATTAGAAGACTTAAACAAAAGAGTGCACTGTAAAAGTTCTTCAGAGCTCCCTGACATGATCGCCTCCATCTGTGTCTGTTACCCGATTAACAGAACTTTGCATTTTAAAAGTTCCCCTTGTGATTATGTTATCGCAAGAGCATAACTTTAAGTTATTTGTCTATTGTTTGCCACATTTCCCACTGGGAAAGGTGGGTGCAAAAAGTCTTTGTCCGTTTTGCTTTTTCAAGATATTTCCTTTCTTGAAATGTTTGTTTACGTCAACATAAGAACAACAGACCTAGGAATAACTTTAGTGAACGTCCAGAGATCAAACAAAGAGAAGAAACAAGTTGGAGAGGGCAGATTGTGTTGAATCCTTATTTTTAACCAGTGTGGTTGGGATTTGAAACATTTTAGGCAGAGCTTCTTTGCAGGATGTGAGTGACGTGCAGATAAGAGGAAGCTTTGCTCAGGAGTTTGTGTTCAGTAATATGCTACACCTTTCGCTTTGCTTTCAATCATATCATGCCTGCTCTCGCTCACGCTCTCATATACTGTGGGGGTGGGATGCTCCGTTGGATATTTACATTTTAGCATAAGGAAATGGGGCAATAATAATTATATTTTCCAACATTTTAACACATATTCAAATGTGTACACTATTAACATTCAAACTGAAAATTAATCCTTGTAATGGCTCGAGACAAAAACACACCTGTGTGAACATGGGCTTCCCGTTCTGGGTGACCATGGTGCACTGATCACAGTCGAGGGAGACAAAGTTATTGTGGAAGGACTCCTTAGGATGTTTCAGCACGTAGTAGAGCTCAGTGGCACCACCCTCAAATATACTTCTGAAGTACCTCGGAATCAACGTCCGACCAATTGCTTAAAAAGAGGGAAGAAAAACACAAAGGGCATTAGACCGGGAGAAGCTGTGTTCGGTCAGTGTGTAGTCAGCCACTGTGTTAAAGAGACATGTATGAAACAGAGAGGCAATGTGTCCCTGAGGTTTTCTTACTGTAGCGTTTGGGTCCATCCTCCAGACAAAAAGTTATAGTCAACATGGCGTCATCTTCAAAGAACTCAGTAGTAAATGCGTCCCACCACAAGTTATCACACTCCTACAGGAAGCGGAGAAGAAACAATAAGTTACCAACACAACGACAGGACTGCTTTCACTTTGAGCATGCATGTGTGTACAAACCTCTGTCCAGTTCTGTAGCCGTTTGTTGAGTTCAAATATTCTGTAGTCTGTCTGGTTGCCATACGGTGTGTGCCTCCTGCTCCATCATGGAATGGCAGAATGAGGAAGGGGGGGGGGGCAAGATGTGGATGGAGAACAGTTAGGTTTAAGGAAGATGAAGGATTACATCACTCGTACTTTCAGATATGTGTCAACTGGTAACTGGTTAAGTCTGGTTAGAGACAAGAAAAAAAAACTATCTCCGTTAAGACAGAGAAAAAAGCTAAACTTTTACACCAGTTTTAGATAAAGGGAAATACAGCACTCTTACCCTATCCCTGGCTCCAGGTATGTGGGAGGATACATTGGGGTGGGACTGTCGAAACAAGAGACAAAGACATTATTACATTAAAGCTAAGGTGATAATATGCCCTCCTTCAGGAGCAACTCTGTCTTTAAGACTCTGGGAAGCAGGCCAAACATGCAACAAATTGGATGATACAAGGAGACGGTAAATAACAACCCTTCTCATATACACACACCAACATCAACTGTGGCTGATTTGGTTACTGAAAACAAGACAAGCTGTAAAGCATGCCCCGCAATCCTGCATGAGGAAAACTCTCCAACCTTCTGTAACCATTGAATTTAAAGAGGACATATTGTGAAAAATCCACTGTTACAGTGTTTTTGAACATATATTTGGGTAACCTGAGTGTCTACTGACCCATAAAATATGAAATAAATCCCTCCAGTCCTTTGTTTGTGGTCTGCATAAGTCTTACAAGACAGAGAAAAATGCTCCGTTTAAAATTTGCTCAACTCTCAAAAAAATAATCCCCTCCCCTGGTATCTCCACCCATGGACTCGACCCCCAGCCTAGAACAAAACTAACAGGTCGACCATTTTTATTCTTGCTACTGAGGAGTGATTTCTACTGGGAAAACTCAGGGGGTCATTGCATTTAAAGAGACACACACCAAAACGGAGCGTTCTGAGAGAGCTGGTTTATACAGGGCCAGAAACCTCCTCTGGTGCTTGATTCATGTTATATTTTGACCAAAGCGGACTGTTTTAAAAGGTGGAGAAGGGGGATAATATGTCCTCTTTACAATGAGTTAAGCAATAAACATTAGATGCACACAGTGGTCCATAAGAGATGTTTGCACAGATCATGTGATGTTACTGGTGGTAGACTAAGACTTATCAATCAATCTTTATAGTTATCTCAAGACACAGAGGGAGATTCAGAGAGAAAGAGACGGATAGAGAGCAACAACAAACGTGAATAAGGTAGCTATATGCCAATAATAATGAAGAAGCAGAAGCAAGTGGAACACCCTTTCAATGAATGATAGAAGAATACAGGGATACTCTTGACAAATTATCAGCAGTTTAACTCTTTAACCAAGAATTTCAAGTAGAATACTTTACACTAAAGTTATATTATTGTTTTGCATTCAGCACTGGGTCCTGGGAAATTACCTTTTAATTATTCTTTAATGAATTTTAGAATTAATATACACTTTAAACATTTGAGTTTTCATTGGGGAAGTCTATAAACCCTCTCCTTTACCCTTTGGCTGCTTTGAGGAGGACAAGAAATGTATCTCATCAAGTCTTCTCTAATTCACATTTGTGATGTTTTCACACATGCACAAAACTCCTGAAAACTTCTTGAACTTTTACAGGTGAGCTGCATGTGTGAATGCAGACTGAATTTTGAAGCTTGCTTCATTATGTTTTCTCCTCATCAGTATGTTCTTCTCCCTGCTTTCATAGATACCATGAACAAGACCAACTAAACAAAGCACAGATATAAAGGTGAGGTTTAATGGCACTTGTCATGATTTGTCATACAAGTTTCATAATTCTCTGCACTTTTACATATTGTTCTTCTTTAGTGATGTTCTGTCTCTTAAGACCAAGAGGGATAGTTTCCCGCTATGAGCTGCATGCGTGAGGAAGCTACTCAGCAAGATTTCATGGACAGTCTGCCTGAAGACAAGCAAGACTTGATGTTGCCAAAATTACTTCCTAAGGTGTGACTAGCCAGAACAAGCTTCCAAGTGGAGAAGATTTCCACTGGATGTTTTCTCCACTAACATCTATTCGTGAGAAGTAATGTCTTGATGTTGTTCAGGCTGGATTGGGAATGCTATATGAACACGATGTGTAATAATAGGAATGCCAGTAGAAGATGGGCCTAGCACAGACACTGTGATTTTCTTACCCGGAGTAAACTCAACAACACACAGGAAACACAGACATAAGACTCACCCCACGTCTCTGTCCAGCATAGTGCCGGGGTGGAAAGGGGGAAAAGTGCTACCGTTTGGGGGCTCCTTGGGGGAGTACAGCTTGAATGACTTGGAGGAACAGCCTGGAAGAGAGGTGAGGAAATAGAGAAAGACCATTAATTTCATGCTTCATTCTTAATTACAAGGTGACAAGTAAGAAAAATTGTTAAAGATTAGTGCCTCAGGATAACGGCAACCATGACTTATGTAAGGGCAAAATTTAACTTCAAAGTGAACCAAAAAAAGGAAAGAGAATATGGTACACCCTTGAGTATTACAGAGGCATTTCTAATGTTTGTTTGGCACTTTTAGAGAGGCACAGTGAATGACTGTATCATGCGAGGGTGAAGGCACACGCAGCCTGAACTGTCCAATATGGCCCAGTTTCAGTTGGCTGCACTCATTCACAGGTCATCCCCAATCTGGTTTAATAAAGATGCAGAACAACAAGAAGGCGCTACCGCTACACTAATACAAAAAACTGCTGCCCTCCATCTACAAACAGCAATCACAAGGAGAGCCATACTGACTTCATTCACACCCACATAAAAAAAACAACCAAACAGATGAATCTGTCTCACACACAAAGCTCCATCCCTTGTTCTACTCTAATTGCCCAGCTCTCCAATAAAGGCCAACCAGGCGTGCCGGCCTTGGGGTCGTGACCCTTGCCGTCACCATAGCGAAGCCCCGCCTTATTAATGTCGCTCTGTCTTGTCCCTGCATATTAAGCATATCTCTGACAACGTGTGTGTAATGAAAGAGAGATATAAATCTGGAGCCCGGAGAAGGGGGAAGACGCTCGTAGTGCGAAGTTTTATGAACATGTATGATTAACCTTTAAGCAGGAGATATCATGATTTGGAAACAAAGCAGTGGTGATATGTGTATTTTATGAAATTAAGACAATTAGGAGTACGGTGCCACTATGGTTAAAATGAATACAGACTTTTTTTTAACAGTGAAGTGTCACTATCACAGTTCGTTTGCTGTATTTCAGTCAAGGACTTAACAGAAACGCAGATATCAGCAGACAAAGTGACACAAGGTGGACAGACAGCAGCCATGTCAAACACTAGTCTAAGAGGCCGCACTGACACAATTACACATTAGTTTTTCATATTCACTCACAGCCAGTGCAGAAAAAGTAACAGCAGAGGACCTGCATCTTTTCTGATTTCTAAACTAGTTTCCCACAGTATGTATAACTACAGCTTAACTCTGCAGGTGAGTTAACAATAAGTGAACCATGTACAGGTAGCACAGATTGTCTTCTACAAAACATCCATACCTGCATCTACTAAACAAGTTGTTTACGGCATGAGCCTGCTATGCTATAGTCTGAATGCAGCACCAGAGGAAAACAAATGGGGTTGATAAATAAATAAATAATCAATTCTTATGTGTCCATTAGTTGTTGAGAGCTCCATTAGCTCCTCTCCTCTCCCGTTAGCGGTTAATGACAGGCAGTCACAATCTCATCAGCTGGACTCCACTTCCTCCACTGGGAATCCTGTCCACTGCTCACTTACAACACACACACACAGTATATACATATCATATCCATTATACATGCACACATCCTGCAGGCTTGAGGGATGGCCAGCCCACCACAAACCATCAGAACAAAATGTGTTGAGCAACATAGATGTTGAAGGTAGTCGCTACTTTTGATTTTAAGTAAACAAAACACACATAAACACACACACACACACACACGATAGTAACCTGTGGTGGTTTTGTATTTCTGCACCTCCAGACCATGATTGTTGGGGGGCATGCAGCTTCTTAATACTGAACCATAACCTCCTTTATTAAACTGTTCACATTAACCGACGTGAACCTGCTTTTTTAAAACATTTTTAAACAGTATTTCAAACATCCCTTTAGCTCTGAACTTCACCATCCAGAGCAGATTTGTAGTTGTGGTGGTTACAAAGGCAATTAGAAAGGCTGCCAGCGCATCATGCTAACAGTTAGCTTCCAGCTAAGCTAAAACCCGTCGGTAAACTTCGCTACATAATACCAACGAAGGTCGGATGTAACCAACAAGAAACACACAAAAATACAGATTTGTTATGATCAATAACATCGACACCACCAGCCACAAAACACAACACTACCCTACGCCTGCAGGGCAAGTCATAAAACAGATAGTACCACTTAGCTCCTGTTAGCCGTCCTGCTAACGCCTTAGCGTCAATTCCCTTTTCAACGAAAAATCACTGGAACAAGTTCCCCCACAAAACAACCACGGCGGCTCGTACGCCTCATCCAACCACAAAACCAGTTAGAAACCAAAGTAAAAGCGTGTGTTTGGGAGAAGCGAGCCTTTACCTGTAAAGAAGTCCAATCAGAAAATTGATGTTTACAGATCCGTGATGAGAGACCGTGTGTACGCGCCGTGCGTAAAAACCGATAGGCCCGCTGGACGCAACGTATCAACACAATACGTCCCCCTGAACAGGATCAATGAAAAAACCTCTTCAAACCAAGAGACCGCAACGGAATAAGGCCTAAATAGCGGGAGTCGGTCGGTTATGTTTTGTCCCGCATGAGGCCTTGTCAGTGGGCTGAAGCCTGCTGTGGGTTTACATACGGACCCAGATGAGCCCTTTGTTCACGGGAGGACATGAACAATAGCTGTAGGCCCTCCTCCTCCTATCCCTCTGCAATGCATTTACTCCTCTCTCCTCTGCCCAGCACCGCCAGCCGCCCTCTCCCCCTGCCCCTGCTGCTGCTCCTCCTCCTCCTCCTCCTCCTCCCCCCACTAATGCACAACTGCACATGAAGGTTGTCTGGTAAGCATTTTTTTTTCTTCCTTCCTCCTCCCTGCTTCCCATCCCATCCTTGTAAGTGACACAAATGAGAATTGGCCTAATGCAGCCGAGTGGAAATGTGTGTAGAAATGAAGATCATGCTGACTGCAAAGTGGTTTCGTGTCTGCCTAATTAGTGCACATCAGCCTGCTGAAAACAACTGAACTGAGACAGTGACATGAGCCTGGTCATATGCATTATACACTATGTGTCTATGCAGTTATCGCCATGTGAATCTGATGCAGCAGCATGATGAGTCACAAGTTAATTGAGATCTTCTACATTAACTTCCGTAAGGCTAAGAGACTGGGGTTGTTTGCAATCAATTGTGTCTTTCAGTTTGCACATTGAACTGTCTCCAGGGTAGAACAGTAAATCCCTTAACCACTGGGAATGTCTCCCTCTTTCCCTCTCTGTGCAGAGACACACATAAATGAACACATAACAACCACACAGGAAGCACTAAGCCAAAGGGAGAATCCCATAGGCCTCTAAATCTGCTTAAATCGCCTCAAATCATAATCAGATATTCAGATCACAGCCAGCGAGGACTCACCCATATGGCCGAAGTTGGGATAAAAAAGAACAAGTATTAGGTCAGTAGTTTTCATATGCAAGGGGATGTCATAATGTTAATTTGAAATGCAGTATTCATCCTTTAAGCACTGTTTACAGGCGCTCCCATATCAATTCTTTCCTTTGAATCACTGAAGCACTTTCCCCTGCCTCGATTATTTAAGGTCGCTGCAGCCACCAGCATGAATGTGGCTCTGATTTATTCACAACTCATGTACACAGGCAGTGAAAACACAATGTTTCATCAATGATTTATCCTCAAATTAAGCTGCTCATGGGAGCCCCTGTATTGAAATAGGAAACAGACCTACGCAGAGGCTGCTGTATATTTGAACACCAGTGTTCATAGCATGGGTTTTATTATGACAATATTATAATAATAATACAGTTTTTAAGCTCAGGTAGAACTCTCTCTGGTTTTTCAGGGTTTTTTTAATCATAAATGTGCTGTGCAATGATTTTGTGCAAAATCATGTTATGGAACAACTTTTTTTTAAATGTGAAAATAAGCAGTGTTCAGACTTCAAGAGTTTTTAAAACCAGATTCTCTCCAGAGTGCAGATAAAGGGTCAGTTCAACAAGAGGTTGTAGGCAGGTCTGTCAATTTACTGTCAGTTTACAATATTTATATACAGGTGTTTCTTTAAAGAATAAATGAAGGGGCGCTGATTGCCCAGCGTGGTCGCATCCCATGTACAGAGGCTATAGCCATCGAAGTGGGCGGCCCCGGGTTCAAGTCCGACCTGTTGCTCCTATCCCATGTCATTCCCCTCCCTCTCTCCTGATTTCAAACTCTATCCACAGTCCTATCTGAATAAAGGCAAAAAGCCCAATAAAAAAAGTATCAAATTAAAAGGTAAGAATTAAAAATTTTAAAAGAAAATGACAGTCCACATGATAGGATTTCACATAAGGAACATATTAATAATACAAAGGTTTGTCCAAAATGAAGTCCATAGTAGTAGTTATAATGATAATTATTATTATAATATCCCTTGTCAGCTTTTATGCAGCTGCATGTTTAAAACTTGATTTTTCCTCTGCTTTAATTTGGTGGCATTATAATCAACCTTGTTTCCGAGATTCTGACGTCTTATCACGTGGTATGATGAGCTTATATTGTATGTTTATCACTCCATCTGTTTAATCTTCTGCCACTGTGCAGATGTCTTTTTTTCTGTCTGGATGGGAAAACAAGCTGACCCTTTTTCATTGTCTTAATGAAGACAAAAACCCAAATGCAGCCCCTCTTTGCAGACTTCAGTGTTTGTTGAAGTGAAGTGTCTCTCAGGGCATGACACACAGAGAGAGAGAGCATTATCTGCTCTGAGGCTCGTGTCTCACCCGACCTGCATGAAGATGCTCGGGCTGACTTTATGTATTTTGGTCTGACAATGCTGAGCACTTCTCAGCTCACGAGCCTGCTGTCACTCTGCTGGCAGCATCTTTGTGTGTCTAGTACCAGGGGGAGGTGTATGCAGTTGTAGCTTAGACTGTCTGCTGTGGGTGACTTATGTGGATTTGCCTATCTTACATTCACTGGCCCCTGTAACCATGGCAACACAAGCAGTCAATGCTGTCACAACCAGAGCGAGGAAGAACCATCCGTGGAAATGGACACACAAGGGTTAATCCTGTGTGTGTGTGTCTCCAAAGCTTGCCCATTGAAATGGTACACGATGGGGTTAATCCCTGCTGCATGTGTGTGTGTGTGTGTGTGTGTGTGTGCACGTGTGAGTGTGTGTTTGTCTGGGTGATGTAGAGGAGGTGGGGGTGGGAGGTGTGTCAGGATAAGGCTTGAAGGGCTTACACACACCGTCTCTTTCGCTCTCAGGCATACGGCAGGCCTTATCTCTAACCAGCACCCCAACCAGCGAGCACACACACACACACACACACACACACACACACACACACACACACACACACACACACACACACACACACACACACACACACACACACACACACACACACACACACACACACACACACACACACACACACACACACACACACACACACACACACACACACACACACGTCTGCCCAAACACTTACCAGTCATCCTTATTTTCTAACTTGCAGTCATACATTCACACCTAAAGCCATAAATCCATGTACTCTAAGTGATTAGAGCTGCAGCATGCGGTGGCTGAATAAACTCCTGAAGTGCACAGTGTGATGTTTCCATAAGCCTAAACCTACAACTACAACTCAAACCGTTTAATTTGCCATTATCAAAGTCAAAAAACGAGGCAATAAGCAAACTTGGACACAACATCAACAAGCCAGGAAATATATATATAACCTCAGGGGTTCTGTTGATGCTTTGGCTGCGAGAAACACAAAAAGGAAAGAGACTTACCCCCTTCAATTTCTAGCTGTTCTGACATCGCCATTTTGTCACCCACAAACACACTTTCACAGCTACACACTGATCTAACTCAGAGACAAACTCTGTTTTCATGCCTCTCCCTCTCTCTGATATCTCCCATGTCCAGACTGTCAGGCTCAGGGGCACGAGGAAGGGGTGGAGGGGGTGTCTACATTGTGTGTGTGTGTGTGTGTGTGTGTGTGTGTGTGTGTGTGTGTGTGTGTGTGTGTGTGTGTGTGCGCGCGCATGTCCATCCAAGTGTCAGCATGTGTGTGCGTGTATGTGGGCTCATGCATATGTGTGTGTGTGTGTGTGTGTGTGTGTGGGTCCAAGCATGTAAGGCATGTGTAAGTGCAAATGTGTGCAGCGTGCCACTTCCACTCACAAGTCAACAGGAAACTGACAGCACACACATCTGCCAGAGTTCTGATAACGCGCGTCCCAGGCGCCCTCCCTTCAACACAAGTCTAAACACTGATCTGGAGACAGTTTGGTGTTGGTAAAAGTGTAGAGACCACCCTGGCTAAACCGATCCTGGATTAGTGATGACAGCTACACTTGAATGCGAGGACTTAAGTTAATTGTTGTTTTTTCCATTTTTCTCCAAAACAGGAATGAACAAAAAAAACACTCCTCTTTTCATTTATCACATTTCTTTCCCCAAAGCTTCTGTTCCACTGCGTCTTACCTCCGCATAGTGATAAAGTCAGAAAACTGTTAACACATCAGAAGCACAGATAGTCTCTTTCCTTTATATGGAAGCTAGATGTCTCTGGAGCTCTTTTCAGCGGCCACTGCCTGCCATGTTTGAAACACTTGGCAGCTCTGCTCTCTGATTGGCTCAGTCGGAGAGACAAAGATCTATGTGTCTGATTCAGCTCTGATAGAAGATCCAAAGGACTAGCTGCCACTTTTTGGAGGATTTGGCACCAACTGAGAACATTGGAAAGCTTTATAACAAAGTGCCTGTTAGCCAGCATCAAAAAACGTATCTAGTAGCCTAAATGAACTTTACCGGCTTAATTCTGTGCTGCTCTCTTCTTTATTCAATGAAAGAGGAATTTAAGAAAACTTACCTGACAGCTGCTGTTATTTTACTGATATAGATTATAACCGATATGATAAAATTGTAAATTTAAAAACCATCTGCATCTTTATAAAGTTATTTTCAACCCCCCCCACACACACACACACACACACACACACACACACACACACACACACACACACACACACACACACACACACACACACACACACACACACACACACACACACACACACACACACACACACACACACACACACACACACAATCAACTGAAGAAGACCTCGGGTCAAAACGTTGTGATGAATTAAAACTTTGTGGCATTTGATCAAGTGTGCGGGCCTATCTTCTTCCACAGTCTGCTGATTTTGCACTGCCCTTGACTTAAGTGATGTGTGTATACCTCCTTTTTCCAAGAGAACACCACTTACACATTTGTATGACAAGCTCAGCAAAGAGTTAAATCATCTCTCTTTGGCAACAGGGGTCAGTGAAAACGTAACTCTCCTGGAAGCTTTTTAGCTCCAAACAGTGTTCCAGGGACCAATTTTCCCTTTAAATAAAGTTTGTATGTTTAGTTCAGAATATAGCATAGAATTGTTTCACTTCTCCAATTTTTAAATGTCACCACCAAATCTACATAGTGCACCTTTAAGTAACCTTCTAATGGTAAATGGACTAGTTTATAAAGCAGCCACTGATGGCAGAGGCTGCGATGTAAATTGTCCATTCATACACATTCACACGCCACTGATGAAGCAGTTGGAGCATCTTGGGGTTAAGTGTCTTCCTAAGGACACATCAGACATGTGGTTGCTGGAGCTGGGGATCAAACCGCGGACCTCCGGTTGATGGATGACCAACTCTACCAACTGAGCCAGCCAGGCCTTTGAGTATGATGAGAATAAAGTCAAACTGCTGTAAGTTTATTGAACAGTTTCTCGAGCAGCCCTAGGTTGTTGATGTTTTTTCTATGCTAATAATTGTTTTATGCCATGTTTCATTTCAAACAGAACCGCTATAAACCAAACCAGTCAAGGCAGGAGAGCCAAATCCAGAAAAAGTTAGCAAGCAAGATAGCAACAGCTAGCAGATGAAGCTAAATATGAAGTTTGATCAGTAGCTTATTCCACGGATTGAGATACGTATTTTATGATTAACATCCCTAAGGTTGTTTTTGTAATCTGATAACAATCAGGAACTAGCTAGATTAATCCAGATATAATGAACTAGAATTATTGTCTCACAGCCGTGTGCCTCTGCAAACCAGGGAAGTTCAGATGTGTGAGTTTGTTCAGAGACATAAAACTCAGTCAGATTCCTTTTTTTGTGTTCACACGTTTGACCAATAAAGTCTATTCTAGAAAGCCAATTTAAGGGGGTTTGTTTTCCAAACAACAACACTATAATGAACCTGATTAAAGGCAACAAGACTGGCTTACCAGAGGAGCAGTGACTGCCATCTTTTCTTTTTACAGTACAAGGATTATCTATGGAAGCCTTAAACCCTTTGTATTGTTGATACAGAGACTTGATGTAAATTTGTCCTGTGTTACAGATTTCTGCCGAAATATTTGTACTCCAGTATCTCTGCTGTTTTTTTTATGCCTTTTATTGACAGGACAGTGGACAGAGCTTAATATTTACAGTTTTGGGACAGAGTAGGAAAATAGGGGAGAGAAAGTGGGGAAACGTGTTTGAACGGAACCACTCCTCCGTACATGAGGCACCACTTAGCTGCTAGACTAACCGCTGCACCCTGTTATTTTATATCTGTATATATTATGGGTGTATCACAGCTTTGTTGGCAACTGCACAAATCAAGAGCAATACTTTATGCCTTCTTAATTCCATGAATGAGATTTATGGCCATATGTAGGTCTATTAAAAAAAGAAAAGAGCATGATTTCTCTTGTTTGATCTAATACAGTAACAAAAACAGACTTGGCTTTAATATTATCATGTTATTAAATTTAAAAAGTTTCTCTCATCAAGCCAGAAATAAAAATGGTAAATAATGCTACCATATAAAGAAATGTGTGGATACATACTGACATCAGTAGCCTATCTTGTTTTTAAACTTTTGAACACCGTTATGAAAAATGTCTTTTGAAAATAAAAAAGGCCTATATCTATTTTTTTGGTCACCACTCTTTAAATGCGCCAAAAAAAGATCAACTCGCTTACAATTCTGAATCGGTCTATATTTCAGGAGCCACATCCCCTCCTCCTTACACGTGGACAACCAGCTGTTGATATAACTCACAATAAACGTCCACTCAGTCTGCAAGCTTTAATTATTACAGCAAACATTGTGTCCTAAGTTTGTTTGACCTGTTTTGTAATAACTTAATCATAAAGTCATTACAGTAAAAAGATATGCCTGTAATGACTTTTAGTACAAGATGACAGCTTCATTGTGTATTCAATGACTTTATGATCATTGCATCGATTAGATGAGGCTCCGTGATTTGTTTTGTGTTTAATACTTTGGATTGGCTCAATTTAAACATTTGCATGAAGTGATTTTATCCATAAACAATTTTCTGTCCGGCATTTAATGAACCATTATCATACATTTTTTTAGATTAAGAAGACACATTTTCTTCTTTAATTGATTCGTTATAAAATTCAAATTATCTGTCCCAAAGAGTACTCTTACTGTTTAATTTGTATCACTGTAATTAAAAGAACATTAAACATTTTCACAATCTCAAAGGCCTATTTCTACTTTCACTTTAGACAAGGATTCAAATTTTCTTCTTCTATCGCGGCTCTTCTGTCTGATGAAAATGATTATTGATGGTGCTACTTAGAAACCGCACATGAACTCACAGCAGCTAAACATAAAAAAAAAACACAACAATCAAAGCTGTTATGCAAATGAGCTCTGTAAGTCGAACTGTATGCAAATGAAGCCGTTGTTATTCCTCACAGAGCGATCACTCTCCATCTGATTTACAGTCAGAGACTTCACTGTGCATCATTTACAGAGGGAGAAATTAGAGCTGACCTACAATCAGAGCTCGCTCTTTGATAGCAGCGCCCTCGTGTGGCCACGGTGAGTCGGTGTGTTTGTTTTCATGCCGTCCAACAGTATTTTCTCACTCGCTGGGTGAATTCCCTGCTCAGGATTTTCTCTGGCAGGCGAACACAGACACCCTGCAACAGGGGAACCTCAACGGCAACGCGTCACATGTTCGTCCAGGCCAATGGGTGACGGGATTAAATCAGGAGAAATCACGCTTTTGGCCGGTCTTCATTATTATAGATCATCTGTGTTCATTAAAAAACACAAATGTAGATAATAAAGCGACTTAATGATCAGCATTATTACCCATCATCCTCTGCTTTTTCACTCTGGCATTTTGCAGGTGGCTTAGTCTTTAGTCTTTTAGTCTTTAAAAGAGAGAGAGAGAGAGCGTGTGTGTGTGTGTGTGTGTGTGTGTGTGTGTGTGTGTGTGTGTGTGTGTGTGTGTGTGTGTGTGTGTGTGTGTGTGTGTGTGTGTGTGTGTGTGTGTGTGTGTGTGTGTGGCAGCAGCAGCAGCAGCGGCTGGTGTCAGCTGACAGCTGTGTGAGGGGAGATGACAGTGCCCTGATGCTGCGTTCTCTGTTCTCTGGGAGCCATTTTGTCTGTCTCTGATCTCAGAGTCAGGTCTGCACCCCCCACCCCCCTCAGCCAATCACGTCACCGCTCAGCCTTGCAGAAAACATAGAAACACAGTCTGATCTCTCTCTCTCTCACTTTGTCTCACCCTTTCCTCCCTCCCACCCACTCCTCCTGCGCTCCTACAGTGCTCATCTCCCACTCGCTCTCTTTCCTCGGCTCTTCTGCTCTCTGCCTTCTCCCCCCCCCTCCTCCGTCACCTCTCTCCTCTGCTGTTTTCTCTTTTCCTGCTGACACCCTGCCTGCTCCTCCTCTCCCTCTTAATCCACATCTCTCTCTTCCCTTCCATCATACCCCCT